TATATATATAAAATATAATTTTTTTTTTTTTTTAGGGCCTTCAAAAAATTTGTTAACACATATGCAAAAATAATTCATCAAAAACACAAAAAGAAAAACTTATGCACATAAGTCACATTGCTATTGGTAGGAATGTAGAAACTTTTACTTACCTGGTAAGAAGGGAAATATTTTTCTTAATGGATAGAAAACTTAGGGCTCATTTGGTATTGACTATTTATTAGGAATAACACCAAACACCTTAGAATATTGTGGATAAATAGTTAGTACTTTGCGGAACAAATTAATATTGTCCGACATAAATTAGTCAATACAGTCCGACGTACCAAATAAGCTTTTATGTTGAAAAAATGGGTTTAAAGCAAATAATCAACCAAGCAGCTCAATTCCTAATTTTTGTTTTTGGCTATCTGGTGGGATGAACTCATAAATCACAAATAATATTTCATGATAAAATTCGGCCTAAATCTATCATCATTCAGGATAGAAAACCACGGTTCATTTTAGTTACTTTGCCACCTAGAATTCTAGCTAGCCCCACCCCAGACCAACCCCTAACAAGTTTGCTGATAACATGGCACCACAAAATATAGACCCACATTTCACTTTGTCATTAGAGAAAGAAAAAGAAAAGAAAAAACAAGGAAAGCTCTTTTGATGAGATATCTAAAAAATCAAAGAATAAAATTAGAGTGTGATAATAATATAATACATGAATGATTTGGCCATAATTTAGATTAGATTAATATTCTTGTATATAAAAAAAAAACATCCGAGTTTGATAATAATATAATACATGAATCATCCGAGTTCGAATTCCCCTCCCCATAATTTAGATTAGATTAATATTCTTGTATATAAAATAAAAGCAAACACACAAAAATTGGCCACATCCTTTCCTGTGTGTCTTTTCTCCATTTAGCCACCACAGAACAGGGCTTGTAAAAGAGGCCCACTATGAATGAGCAATAACAGAACGTAAAAGCAGAAAAGATCAGTATAGTGGGCTTCCCATATTTGTTACACACAGCAAAGTCAAACAGTGCAGACATCAAATTTCTATATAATATGCTGCCATAATCACTTGAGTCACAAACTTACGAGTTTACCAGATTAAATTATATAAGCAGCAATGACTTCATCAAGTAAAAGCGTAAATGTTACTAATCACTTGAGTTACAAACTTACGAGTTCACCGGTTTTAAATTATATAAGCAGCAATGACTTTATTTGCTTTTGCTTTTGGCACCGTGGATTGGGAAACAAAGTTGAATGTAGAACAGCTAGCAGTAAGGGGCCAGCCAGCCACCTAGTAATCACTATCCACTCGTCTGTCGATGCATTTAGAATACAACATTTCTTCTCAGTCTTTTTCTTTCTATTCAACTTGACAAGTTATGAGTTGTCGGTGTCCCAATAATATTAACCACTCCTCTCTAATATTGCCAATCATAATTCAGACACATCCGTCTCTCTCTCTCTCTCCTTCCTAATCTCCTTCCTAATCTACCCTTGTATTATAACATTCTAAACTTGAATATGATGAGTTGGGGGCAGTCTGGCACTTTGACTTTGGCTGAGACCCCTTTGGACTGAAAATTAACAAAAATAAAATAAAATAATATAATGGTCTAGTGGCAATATATTATTGGGGAGGCGGGCATGCGCCCTACTGCCAATCCATGCACCACCCCGCCCCCTCTTTTTCTGATCCATCTCTCTATAAATACTCACTCCAATCTCTCTCTCATTTCACAAAATCCCAATTATCTTATCTCTCTACTAGCTGCTATAGCTATAGCTGTTTTCTATATAATATAATTAATATGGCCTTGTCATCAAGATTAACCCTGATGATGGCTTCCCTTGTTTTCTCTTTTCTGGTTCTCCAGTACCTCACTGAAGCAGCTCATCAGTCCCACACGGTAATATCCATGTCTCCTTTTCTTTTTCTCTTCTTTTATCAATTACTTAAGCAAATTAAAAGAAGTTCTTAATTTTGTGCTTTACACTATTTTCAGATGAACAACAATGGAGCACCGAGCCCCCTACCCCCGCCCACCCTAGGTATGTATATTACGATTTGATATACATAACAAAAAATCTGTATATCAATTCTGCACTTTACGCAGATGTCTGCGGACGCCATTAACATTGAGGAAAGCATGGAGGGTAGTAAAAAATACATGGCGTCCGCACGGTAATAACGTCCGCATAAGAGAAAATATGTTTATTAATTTATACGAAATTAATATATGTAATTATGCAAATGATGAAAACAATCGTGCAGATTGCGGAGTGGCATGTGAAGGAAGGTGCAAATTATCATCAAGGCCTCGTCTGTGCAAAAGGGCTTGTGGGAGTTGCTGTGACAAGTGTAGCTGCGTTCCTCCAGGCACTGCTGGCAACTATGAGGCTTGTCCTTGCTATGCTAGCCTCACCACCCGCAATCAAACCCGAAAATGCCCTTAATTAATTCCATTAATCATTTCATTTCAAAAAATCCCATATATGTCTATAAATATGGGTTGTTTTCCACCAGAATAAAGTTCACACACTTCTTAATTATCTCTTTATTCAGAAATGAATTGAATTGTAAAAGCTTTCTTTTTTGTATTCATTCTTATAATAAAAAGCATTATTATTATTATTATCTTAGAGTTTGTTTGTTGTTTGATGATGTAGTTTTTCTTTCTTTTTTTCATTGAATGTTCATCCCTTCTCATATAACACCTTGACAAAGCAACTTCACTTGCAAGTTGTTTGCAAGAACACTGAAATAACTAGTGCACCCAGCAGCACTTGCAAGTTGCCTCAAGATTATATCAGTAAGTGCACACATCAACATCTAGTTGCATTGGCACACAAAAATTGACACGCAAAATTGAATAAATGACAATCAGTCCATGTTAATAGACATGACATGACATGTGCATGATGATCGGTTCATGTCGCTTTTTCATAGTTTCTTAGAAATAAAATGAAATATAATCCGAATTAATGTGCAACAGTAAGTGCTATACCACTCAAAGTTGTAAGGAGCTTCAGTAACAAAGTAGGAAAGTGTAAAATATACATGTTGCTGGGTGTTTTTTCCTTCTTTCTTTCGGTTTTGTTTTGTTTTTTTTCTTAAGCCACTTGCAGGTATTATTAATCATGCATGTATCAGTGAGATTGTCTAACAGTGACTTAATTAATCCCGACAGGGTTCAAAATTCAATCTAGCAAGTTGCGATGTACGGACTATGAAAATCTTCTTATTTTATTATACTATTTTCTTTTATTGAATTGGATAAATTATAGAATACTATGGTAGTATGGTCATGTAATACATTTTGTATACGTGTTATAATATAAGTGCATATTTATAGATACTGTTCTCTAAAAGGGGGAAAAATAAATCATGCCGTCCACCCATATTATAACATGTGTACGAAATGTAACACGTAACCGTATTACTGTAATATTTTATAATTTCTCATGGAGAGAACTGAGGACGATTCAGTATGAAATCTTGAGTGGATCACAAGAAATAATTAAATTTTATGGTTTTGTGTACGCATCTGGCTGTTCACACAAATATGAGCTGTGCTTATTCCTCCAATCAAATAAAGAATAAGCGCTTAGCTGTGTGCACATCTGGCCACCAAATCTTTCTCATTTCTTTCTCTTTTACTTTCTTTACACTATATTTTCCTCCATTTTTTTTATTCTTACAGATTACTCCCAGGCTACCTCCACCCTCCAGGCCCAACCCACCACAACATCAAAGTCTGGGCCTTCCCTATTCTTGGGCTGGGATGGTCCGTTGAGAAATCCTTTGGATACAAATATATAAGCAACACTGACATATATATATATATTTACAGAGAGCTTTCATAAAGGATCCCTCAAATTAGCTTATTTGAGGGACATCTTTGTAGGGCTTATTTTGCATTGTATTTCACTAATCCAAACCTCTATGTTTTAGATAATCATTCAAAGATCATTTCTACAAAAAATCACTTGAATTCGATATCGTTTGACCACTCAATTGTGTTATTGAAATTTTAGTACTTTCTTGAAGCACCGTGTTCATTGATTTTGTAGGATACAATTGGATGTTGAAACGGTTTCCGATTTGTCTAATTTTTTGAAAGGATGATCTATGAATGTAGACTTAAAAAAATAGATGGTTTGGATCATTGGAAAAACATTCATAAGGTACCTTAAAGGGTGTCCCTCAAATAAAAATTATTTGAGGGATTCTTCAATAGAAGGGGACTGTATATCACATTCTCATACTTCCTGATGCAGCAGATGAGATGGACACCCATACCAATTAATATTAATTTAACTTTTTATTTTCTTTTATGATTTATTGACACTTTTTAATTGATGTGGATGCCCACTTCATATGTCACATAATGTGGTATGAGAATGTAGTATATAAATGTGGTAAGAGTAGCATTACTCATATATATATATATATATATATAAACTGACATTTTCAAGTTATACTTGTATAATCTCATAAGAAAAAAAAAATTGTATCTACTTTTTGACAAAGTGGACTAAACTACTCACGGAAAGGATAATTGAATTAGGGTGCAAGAAAGTGAGTACAGTGTCTTGGCCAACTAACATAATTTATGTCTACAAAAATTATATATATTAATCTTATCATTTTGTGTAATAGCTCAAGAAGAGGGAAAAAAAACTCTATTTGGTTATTATTTCTTTTTGGTAAGAAATCTCGATTGAATAACAAACAAAATTATAATTTCTTTTGGTTATTATTTCTTTATGTTTCCTATATCATCCCAATCAACGAGAAATAACAAAAAAAAAAATTATAATGAAGGAAATTGGTGGGCAGACTAGGAAATTAATTACACAAATCATGATGAGGCCTATCTCAAGGCCCATTAAATTGCTCGAAAATAAGAGATGAGGCCACAGCTATTCAAATTAAACTCCAACGGCTAGTTTTAGCAAACGTGTCAGAATTTGACGCACCGCACGCGCCAACGGTCACATTCCCGTTTAAGAACCCCGTTCACCAAACCCTCATTATAAGCATCCGAAGCTCTGCCCTAAAGATATCGACTTTTCTCTTGCTTTCCAAGAATTTGATTTTCGGCGCCCACTGTTTGCTTTCTCTAATCTCCAGTCTCTGCTTGCTCCGCCTTTCAGTTTTCCGACGACCCATTTCGTTTTTCAGCGACTTTCTCGATTCAAATCCAATGGAGACCCCATCTTCAATCAGAAGAGTCACAAGGTCTCAGGCTTTGGTTGCTCAAAACAGCAACACCAACAACATTCCCCTTTCAAGTGAGTTCTCTCACTTTCTTTTCTTTTCTTTACTTTTGAATAACCAATCAGTTTTTGAATATAAAAAATGGGTCTTGATCAGTTTCTTGGTTTAATGGTTTTCGTTTTCATTTTCCCCCTTCTTTCAATATGAACAATCAAGACCAAGAGTTTTGATCAGAAATTGGGTTTATTGATACTTGGGTTTTAGTGGGTTTACCATAGATTTGGTTTCTCTATACTGACTCATACATGGTTTCTTTTTATCAGGGAAGAATGAAGATTCTGAAAAGGTTGAATCGAAATCAAGACCAAGAAATGGGAAGCAACAGCAAGAAAGATCGGCCCTGATTGACATAACCAATGATTCTCCGATTGTGGGGCTTGCAATGGGAAGCTTGGAGACCCCATCATCGGCCATAGTCAAACAGAGAAGCTTTAGAGCCAAGAACACACCTGGGTCCGGAGAGGCCTTGCTGAGAGGTCAAGTCAAGACCCTCTTGCAACAAGTGGAAGAAGAGGCCGAGCTCTCAAAGATCACATTGGAAAGCCGCCCTCTTCGTCTTCTCCAATGCATTACTGGTAACTCGCCAATGGGACTACTTGCCCCAACTCCGGCAAACACACCACAGGTCTCTGATCTCTCTGTTGATGCAAGTGGAAGCAACAATGGTGGTGTGGGTTTCGAGAAGCCTTCTCCACTTGTCCAAGAACAATTGATTTCTCAGGTTGGGTTCTAACCCTTTTGTGTTTGAAGATTTTTCATACTAGATTATATGTGGGTTCTTCTCCTATTTTCATTTGGAATTTTGGTGACAATATTTCGATTGGGTCTTTAATCATTTACCTCCAAAATGAGAAGTGCAAATTACTGATTTCTTTTTATTTATGAAAATGTGATAGGTGGTATGTGACATCTTTGAGGGAAAGAATCAAGAAAGCCTTGAATCACAAAAGAGTATCATCAGCCGGTCTCTGCTGCTGGATTTCTCTGAGAAATCTGAAGTCTCCTCTGTTTCATCAGAGTGCTCCTCTGTGATTACTGAAATCAAAGAGAAGTCATCACCAGATGATGATAGTGCTTCCATTTGGTCAATTCAGGTCAATGCTAGCACCCATGATGAAGATGAAGAAGAAGTTGCTGAAGCAGCAGAAGAAGAAGAAGATTATTATCTGAATCTGAATGAAGGTTATGAAATTGAAGAACATGAACAGGATGGAGGCTATGATCTTGATGAGCTTTGTGATGGTATAAACAACATTTGTGTGGATGAGGAGAAAATGATCCCCAAGTTTGCTGGAAAGCATACAAGATTTGTGTATGACAGTGAGGATGACATTGAAATCGTTGAAGAAGACTTTTCAGCACAGAGTCCGGATTCAGGTGCTGTTGTTTCACCCAATGCCCTTCGCTTGAAGGGCTTGCCAACACCAAAAGGCAAGCACATGCGCTTTCTTGAGGAGGAAAATTAAGATTCTGGTTTTGAAGTGCTGATGTGTTTTGGTTGTCTTTCTTGATAACCATGTTTAGGGATTTGCTTTGGTCATTTTCTGTAATTCCTTAGTTTTGTTTTTTTATTCGGGATCCACAATAGAAATGATATTCATGACCACAAATGGTGTGTAATTCTCAGTGTTCTCACTGATTTTTAATGAATGAAACGTTCTTTGCTAGTTTTGACCAGTTGGGAGTACTTTTTTCTATTTATATATTTTACCAAAATGTAGAATTTAAAAATAAAAAAAAGTAGAATTAGATCAACAAAATATCAAAAAATATAGAAATGTCGTCGGCGATATTGCTAAAATATTATATTTATAGAGTACACCCAGGGCGGCTATACTATTTAAACAGAAAGATATAGCCGCAAATATCCTATTTAAAATTTTCTTTTCTATTAATTAAATCTTAGCCTTATTTATACTTTCATTTATGAAATGAGTCCACAAAATAATTTAAAATAATTAATTACTAATTAAGTAATTTATGAAATGAGTAAAATATTTAAATATTCACTAAAGAAATAATAATTAAACATACTGACCAATTAAAGTAATTAAAAAAGGCTAAGATATTACTTAATTACATATATGTTTAAACCAAAGAAGTTGGCCAAAAAATAAAAGTAAAGAAACTAATTTTATATGTTTAAAATTTATATATATATAAAAAAGGCTAGAAAACCTGTCCCGATGAAATTTCCTTGGTACATGTCTATCTCGACCAAATTTGTTGGATTAGACCTCCCCGACGAAATTCATCTGTGCCGTCAAAGTCTCATCGTGAGAGGTCTAATCCTACAAATTTCGCCCGGATAAACCTGTGCCGACAAACTTTCGTCGGGTGAGATTTAAAAATATATATATATATAAGTTAGTATCTTTAGGTCCAATAAATTTTTATTTTAAATTTTCTTTTTAGTAATTAAATAATATTTTAGCCTTATTTAATTACTTTCATCTGTAATTATGTTTCAATTAACTTCATAAATTATATTACTTAATAAATGGTAATTTTTATTTTTATTTTTTTAAATTTAATCAAATATTTAAATACTAATTATTCACTAAGAAAATTGTAATTAAAACATAACTACTAAATAAAGTAATTAAAAAAGAGAAATCAAGATTATGCTATTTAAATGGTATAGCCGCGCGGCTATAATGTTAAAATATTCTATTCAAAGAGTATAGCCGTCCGGCTATACGTTTAAAATTCTATTTATGTGTGCGTGATTGAGTTCCCAGTGTTGGCACTTTGGTTTTTAATGAATGAAATATTCTTTACTAGTTTTGACCCAATTGGTACTTTTTTATGTTTATTAAAATGTTCTAAGAACTTTGATTTTTAATGAATGAAATATTCTTCTCCAGTTTTAACCCAGTTGGTACTTTCTTTTTATGTTTATATATTTTATCAAAGTGTAGAATTTATTGATCAAATGACTCGTCGACAAAACTATTCTTCGATTATAGTTTAACCAAATGACTTGCCTGAAGTGCTACTTTTCTTGATTTTATGCCTGGCTGATTGAGGATTTTTTGGAAATTCTTCTCTATGAAGCTCAAGTTAGTTTTGAACACCATCTGAACTCGTTTGGTATCCTACTAAAAAAAAACTAAAAAATCACTATTTATTTTTAAAACATGAGTTTTTAAGATCTAAAAGAAAAGAAAAATTTTAATCAGAAATCCTAGATTTCCAAATTGAAAGTAGCAAAAGAAAATGAGAGAGGGAGGATAGACAAGAGAGACAAGAGAGGGAGGAGAGAGGTAGAGAGAAAAAAAAAACTATAAAACCTCACTTTTTTTTGTTTTCAATAATGGGGAAGTTTTGGCCAATGGGCATCCAGGATCGAACCTCGGTGAGGTTTCTTTCCTCCGATGTTACTCAAAAATAAAATAATGGGGGTGTTTTGAGGTTTTATTGGGTTTGGGTTTTTTTTGTGGCTTTGGACTTAAAATTTATTTTTAAGTTTATAAAATTGGATCCAAGTAAGGGGAGCTTCTATAATGAGGGGCTATGTTGAGAGGTTATAATGAGAGGGTTCAATCCAACAGTCTAATAATAACTATGCACTGGATCGAATGGCTATTAAGGATCCAAACGGGGCCGAAGCTTTGCTCCATTGTTGTTGTTGCTGGGTGATCTCGTAAAAAGAGTGCTGCTATCTCCCCACCCATCTTATCTTAAAAAATTTAAAGATAAATTTAACACTTTGTAAAATGATTTCTAAGAACATTTCCAACCGATATGTTAAATTGCCACATGGACATAAAATGACAAAAATTAAAGGTTAAAGTTGTTCCAACTGAGTAGTCAAATCATACAGGGACTTAGGAAATTTTTTCTAAATCTTTAATCTTAAACCCAAGGGAGATGTCAAATGCAAAATGTTAAATTTGAATTTGATGGTTTATGTATCAATTTGACACGTTGAAAAAAATTTAACTCCACCCAAAATGCCAAATAGTATATTATATTATTATATTTTTAAAAGTAAATGGGGCCAATATAATGCATAAAGTTTTAAAAGAGAGTAAATGATAGTAGGGTCCATGACCAAAAAAATATTAAAAAAATATTTGACATCTAGGTTTTTGATATGTTATTTTTGACATATCTCTTTTAGCCTTCAAATTCATGTAGGATTTGACTACTCGGTTGGAGAAATTTTAACCTTCAATTTTTGTCATTTCATGTCCATGTGGCAATTTGACATATCAGTTGGAGATGCTCTAAGGACTTGTAAAAAAACCTCAAATTTACCCCAACTCCTCCCAGCCCAACTGGTTTCATGCTCACATAATCGCATATAACCACAGTGGACGTTTTCAACAAACTTCCCCATAAACCTCTATTTTTGTCAGACCCTAAAACATTTTTGTTTTCCTATGAATTTATCATCATAATGAACAACATATGAAAACAGTATCATCGGCCAATGAAGCAAATTACAACATGCATAAGAAGAAACAAACCATTTCTAGTTCTGGAGAAAAGAGTCTTGGTCATAAAGACCCAGAAATGAATCAGATTATAAAACCCACCGGACAAAAAAAAAAATCAATGTTATGGCATAGAAATTAAATTTTGACACAAAACCTGAGAGAGAGAGAGAGAGAGAGAGAGACTTTACTGACAGAGACGCAAGAGCAAGAACAGGTGGGGATGACAGAGATGGAGTTGGACTTGGCGAGGTTGAAGGAGGCAATGCAGTGATGGGAAGTCAAGCCCAAGCCTCTCTTGGAGGATGGGTATTTTAAGAATAATAGTTGATGAAAAAATAAGATTATATTTTTTCAAATTTACATAGTGGGAGGGGAAATAGGACATGAGTATAATAGCACTCCCAAGAAAAAAGAGAGCTAATTTTCCCACTCCCACTTACTCTCTTTGTTGGAAATTGTATGTTCTCACTCATCTTTTATCAAAAGAGTGTAAATGAACAAAAAGGGAGTGGAAAAATCATAACCCTAAAAACATCTCGGTAGTTTTTGTTGTTGATTAATAAGAACCTTTTCTTGTTTGCCTGATCTTTATTTCTCTCTGTTGCCCTGGTTTTACCATTTACAGAAAGGAAATAATATATCTATACAAAAGATCACTGGAAAGAGATGATATCTCAAATACGTCAATAGTTTTAACCAAAAACTAAATTCCCTGCAAAGGAACGATGACGCATTTCATTTGTATAATATATGGATCCTCTTCAATGAGATACCTAAAACCCTAGAACCAAATCTTTGCTCCTAAATGTGATTTACATATGAATTTGTGATTTACATATTCAACACCCCACTCAATTCTTTCCAAATTGGGTGTCAAAAATATAATTATAGAGAACGACTTCTCAAAATCACTATAAGAGCACCGATATGTACATGATAAATATTTACAACAGGAAACCGTCCGAGCAAAATATACCATATTTTTAACTCTAAAACCTCCGGTGCTAACTTCAAAACCAGGGGTGCCACGTCGGATCCATCATGCACAAGTTCCTCGGAGTCAAGGCAGCTTCAACCAACTCGGTCACTCCGCGCTGCACCGACTGTGGTGGTTCCATGGCATTATCCTCCTGAATGCAGCAGAAAACACAACACAATCTTAGGGGCGGTTAAATTAGCAATCATTTCCAGATTCTGAACCAAATTTGAAAACCAATAAAACCTAAAAAATTAAAGAAGAAAAAAAAAATTCAGCCCACCATTGTCCTGAAGTTTATTTGAAAAGACAAGGGAAAGGGAAAGAATACAAATTTTTTTTTTTCTCATTTCAAGAGGCATTTACTTGACATCATTGCAAGTGACACAAAGCTCTATGCTACCATAAGATTGGAGGCACTGACTTACCTCTTCAGAAAAGTACTGTGGGGCAATTCTATTGATCCGGCCAATAACATGCTCGACATTGGTGATGACCTTCTGCTTAAAGTCAGCGGGGTTCATACTACCCCCTCCAGCAAATGGGGCCATAGGCATGCCAAGGGGTCTTCTCCAAGACCAAGACAGCAGCTCGTCACGGAAGAACATAGCCAACTGATGCCACAGATGTTGACTTTGCTGCAATATAGGAAAATTGAGAATTAGGATACAAATAATTTATTCTCTTTCTTTCTTCATTCTCAACTTAGATCTGATTAATCCTCATACTGAAAGCAACTGTCAACAAAAAACTCACTTTAGGTGAAACAACGGCCTGTGCAGCAGCACACATTGCAGACACAATGAGGCCTTCCACTCCAAAATGGGAGAAGAAGGCTTGCATGTTCCTCGTAAGACGAAATGGTACTGGTTCATTAAACTCGATCATTCCATTTGCATCATATGCAGGATGAAAATCAGTTTGAAAAATTTTGCCTGTGTTCTTGGCAAATAAAATTTTATTTGGGGACCTCCCACCAATTTGTAGCATGAGAGACATGAAACTTGAGAGGGCCAGCTGGATGGCAAACTGCTTTTTGAAAGCCCACATATGGTTGCCATTTAGCAGAGTCTTGTACATGTATTGCGAAAAAATGCCATCAGTTACAAGATTTCTTGTTATGTCATTATAAGCTTGGAGGCGAAGGTCTACGACAGCTTCTGGTGAGATTTGGCCGGAAATAGCTTGGTTCAATTGCTCCTTAAAATAGGTGATGGGAAGATCCGCTTCCTTGTCGTTCCTTGCACAATGGTTCTCATACACCTCAAGAAAGGTGCTGTACATCAAATCATCTTCTACCATGCGGACCTGCACATACAGCAATAGTTGAGTACAAGGGGAACCGAATCCCAAACCGACCATAAACTGCTGAGATGTCTTAAAGGTGGGAGTTATAAAAAGTGATTATGTATGAGTAGCTATACTATTAAATGTAGATAAGTCAAATGATCACACATGCTTTAAATACATGGCCGGAACAAATTTCCCGCCCTTTCCTTTTTCCACACACACACAGGAGAGGGAAGATAAAATCTAATTCCATCAAATGTGTATAGGGATAAACCTGAGACCAAACAGGAATGATGATTGGGGTGTGAATAGATATGTGGCGTCGCCTCGATTCCTTGTGCTTATCAAACATTTGGTTCATCACACGGAAAAGCTGCAATATTCGTTCATCACTTCTAGCATTAGGAGTCAAAGATGTCTGGACAATAAAATGGCGTTGAGATCCATCCGAGCCAATTAAAGTCAAACGACGGAAACTACTTCCATGTCTTCGTACAATTGGTATATCAGCTCCAACCCTGTCTAACTTTACTGTATGGTCGGGTGCAATTTCCTGCGATCATTACAATCATGTTTTTTTATATAAGAAAATGCATTGAGAAATCAAATAGAATATTGAATGAACTTGATCATAAAACTGGCTTGTTTTTAAGAAGCTTGACAGTCATTTAACATGATAGAATCAGCTTGGGATACTACTATCTCCATTTATCCAATGACACAGTCATACAAGAAGACCAATCAGTTAAATCATAATGAATAAACAATAAAGCCCGGATCCCAATGATAGGAGCAGAAATGTGCAAACACTGATTTGATTACCTGATCATTAAAGTATTGTCCTGGAACCTCTACATCAACGACATGGAAATCGCGCAACACCCTGCTTTCCTCTTCCAGCTTCAAGACAGCTGGAAACCTGTCCTCAACATTGCTCTGGAGGACATTTTTCCAATGTTTTAACCGCTCAGTCAATTCAGAGAGGGTAGCCGGGAAAGTAGTAGTGCTCCCAGGATCAAGATCACGCTCAAAATCCTGTTTATACTCTCTCACAAATTCAACGTGCTTATTCACAGCATCTTGTGAAAAGCAAGCTCTGCAAACACCAGAGAGCTCCTTCTTAAGAGATTGAGGAACCTCAGCTGTTGTGGCAGTTGGGTACTTGTAACATCGATGAAGCAGTGCGTTAACAACAGCTAGAAGTCTCTCCTCTGGCAGAGTGACAAACCTTGAACCAATTTCAGTCAGCAGAGTCTGCACTCAGAAAGAAAAAAGAAACAAATATATCATCTAGTTGATCAAAAAGACCAAGATATGACTCCTTTTTTTCTTCAATATGCTTTCTCCATACGAGCAGTCTTAAACAAGATTAAACATTTTGGTATACTATGTATGGCTAGCTTCTTAGCAACACAAAAAGTTTGTCTTAATAGAATGTGTAGACACACACACATATAATCATTTTCCTGGAAAGGATTATAATGTTAGTAGGTCGTTCTATCACATGGCTCCCTTGGTGTGAATTGCAAAAGAATATTATTAGATGACTTGAAGAATCCAAAGGCCGCAATTAGAGTCCTGAAGCATTCCATTCTGCTCACCCTGTCTTTTTGGATCACATGGAGCCTCTCTTTTGATTCTTTTATGGAGTTGCCTTAGACAGTAGTTGTATAAGAGTTAAAGTTTCAATCTCCATTAATTAAAATTAATAAAATTGACTTACTAATAAAAAAAATATAAAGTAAGACTGCTACATAACAAAAGTAAATCAAATATTTAACTTCATAAATATGAGACAGAAATATCACACCTCGAGTTCACTAGCCAAATTAGTATGCTTGCTTCTAAGAGCCTCCATTATATCTTTTGCAGCATCAAAAGCACTTGCAGCAGAAGGTACCGAACCCAGAGCACCATTGCGCCTTAATGCACTTTGACCACCATCATTGATGGTTGAAGAACTTTGTTGCTCATTCCCCGTATGGATGCCGCTCTCGACACCTGTGGACCTTTCAGATTCTTGCCCATGAGAGTTTCCACCATCATGAGAACCAATTCCGCCACCGGATTGAGCAGCTTGGTGAGCTTGGTTGTCTGAGGATAAGTTACTGCCACTATGACCTTGTACTCTAGCGTTCCCATCAGCTAAGCCGATTGAAACAGCGCTGGCACCAGAGGCACTTTGCTGCATCCTTTGAGCTATTGCCATTCTACTACCAAGTTCAGTTTTATTTGCAACATCGCGTCGTTCAAGCAAATACGTGCGCAGCCAGTAATATAGAGCCTGAGATTTTAATGCAAGAGAACATCAATATTTCTGTTGGAAGTGAAGTACTGTTTTAAATTTCTTCTCCTTTCACAAATATAACAGGACATTTTACCTGCGGATACACAGTGGCGATTTTTAGTAGGACGAGTTTGCAGTGGAGAGCTTCTGCCCTCTGCAAAGAAAGTAAGAGCTGTGGAATCCAAGAAAGCCAGACCCAGTGCGGAATTTCATCAAGATATTTATCAAAAGCTTTCCCAACAGGTTCATTGGGAGTATCAAAGCTGAGAAGATATAAAACACGAGCAAGATGACTTCTTGAGTTAGATATGCCAAATTTGATGCCTTGAAGAAAGCAGCTCACAGCATACTCCAACCACATCTCGTCATTGGTTTCTCTGTAAGCCTGTGCAAAATAGTTAGCAGATAAGTCCTCACAAATAAAAACACCAATATTATTAAATACAGTTGAAGCACATAACATGAAATACCATGTCACAGTAATTTCCCCAGCTTATCCATCCTTTAGGCAAATTTTTGAACAGGCTGATGGCATTGGAGTATGAAAGATTAGCACCTTCAGAGTCATTTAACTTTAACAAGAAATCCCCCTTCAGACGAAATATTTCTGCTTTATGTTTCACAGGAAAATACTCCAGATTAGTGCTGTTGATTAAATTGAGACCACTGGTAAGCTCTCCTTTCATTTCCAAATAAGCTTTTGCTTGTTCTCTTATCTTAACAAAGGCCTCCTGGTAGCATACACGGAAAGGGATTAGAAACCTGCATCTATTAAAACGAAAGTAGTTTATGAAAGAAAATTACCAAAATAACGTAGTACAGTCAACAAGTACAAAACACAAGCTCAGGAGGACAAGGTTCATGCAACATTACCTCCAGAAGGTTCAAATTGATATGTTAACATTATGAACATGGTTAGAAGTTACAAGAACCAAATACAAGAAACGAAAAATCATAAATTGAGGGATTTCAACAACTCAGCTAGTAACCCCAAGAATAAAGTCATTCATAAAGGGTCTTCTAGGCTTGTAGTAAATGCCCATAAAGGTTCAACACACATGTTTTTGCTTGTACTTTGTTTGATGGGTGTAAAAAAGTAAGAGTGATGTCTTCCTAAGCCCAATACAATATATTTGTTATATTTTTAAATACCTGCACTTCCATCGTTGAATGGCCATACATCTTTTCAAGTATTATCACGCAAACATCATATAGGCCTTGCTTACGACCAACACGGGCAAGCTTATTGACGTTCCAAGCTTTGTCACGATAACCAAGGTGATGAAGATTATTATTTGTTGTCGTGAAATCTTTGAATGCATCTATGACTGCATTATACATTTCGTTCCTCCATTGTAGTAAATCATACCAAACAGACATGTTATCCCATTCATTTGGAGTTCTCAGTCTCCAAGTCTCAAGAATGTCCTTGAGATCGGCATACAGATTTCCGTGCACACCAACTACGGAATTCCCAGAAAGTTTGTTTCCATTGGCAATGTCCACAAGAATTCTAGATGACTCTTGAACTTCAACTAGCTGTTGGAATTGCTGTAAAAGAGGAATCCTGGCATGGACAGACATCTGTGGCAACTGCCACCACTGATCCAAGGCAAGATCTACACCTTTCCCCACAATGTTCTCAGCATCCCCGACACCACTGGAATTTCTTTCATGAAGCGCAAAAAATGCTTGTATGAGCCGAAGTTTTGGAGTTTCTTCCACCTGAGCCTTTGTCATTACATGATCCTTCATATATGCCCAATCAGGCGATTTCCAAAGACTGTCAAGTAGTATTTCATAATTCTCAACACTCTTTCCAAAGTCTACCAATGCATCCCATTGACTAAGTTGAGTAGCACAGCACAGCCATTGTTCTTCCCAGAGACACATCTCGGGCTTTGGTATTGCGTTGTTATATGTGCCTTGAGTTGCCTTAACCATTGCTTGGTAAAAGAGGCTTTGAGCACGCTGCCAGTAGCCATGCTGAACTAGCGAAAGACCAGCCCTAGTTTCTGCAGTTATTGGCCTTTTCTTCCACAGCCCACACCTCATATCTTCTTCATTGAGCAAGCGATATAGTTCAGCAAGGGACTCAGAGCACTTTGCATCATTTGTGAACAACAAAACATGACTTTCCAGCAGCGCCAATGCTATGTGCCATGCATTGTAAGTTTTTCCAATATATTTAATGAGCTCACTTGGCATCCGAGGTTGAGGGTGGCTCAACTGAAGCCCTTCCAGAAGGGCTTGCACAACATTTGGTCTGCTGCCCTGCTGCTTCTTATGATAATCTTTTGAAAGGAGGGTAATCATTGGTTTAGCTAGTGCAACCTGCTCTTCCTTGTGTAAGGTCACCCAGACAATGGGAAACACCAACACCCATAAATGGTATGCGACATTGGCATCCATATGAGCAAGCTCTCTCAGTGGAACAATAAGATCAGCCACCTAAAACAGAGGAAAAATTTAAATAAAAAAAAAAAAAAAAAGGTCAGACTATCAATCAATAACTCAAGCTTGTCTGGAGATATGGTTTACCACCCACGACTTTCAAAGCAGAATTAATTAGTAACAAACTCTGGGAGTGCAAGAGTGGGAGAGGGGAGATGCTAGAAACCATACATTCTTGCATGTGACTCTGACACCACATGGCATACTGACGTGGTATTACAAGTCCATCCAAATTATAACATGTGCACTGGGACTCGTAACACAATGTCAGCATGTGACATGGTGCTGCAGTCACAGAATAGTTTCTCCAAATGTACAAATAATGCACCAGCCTTACCTTGAGTTTGCTCATCTCATTCAAAAAATGTGCATGCTTACGAACAAGGGTGTCAAATGTTAGAGGAGCATCCTCGGAACCCTCTGGAATATCAGTGACCTGGTGCTGCATCCCAGAAGGGTCTGGAGAACCTGAAACCAGAAGTGGTGGCACCTTTGCAGAATTTGGAGCAAGAGTAATAGCTTTATCCTCGACTAAGATTGCTAAAAGAAGATCAAGGCCCTGTTTGAGCCAGAAGACATCACTCAAGGCTTCCCAATCCTGGAGGTGAATAATGTACTGAAGCCTAGCAAACAATGTTTTCCCAAGAGATTCATGATAAAGCGAGAAGAATTTCATCCTGAATTCAGGATCTCTTGCCCGTAAACCAAGCATGAATTGCCTTTCCACTTTCTGAAACACCTCTTGACGCAGGGATAGGGGATATCTGGACATTGATCAAATCATTTAATCATCTCCTTTTATTCAAGTATAACAAAAGTGAAATGAAGTATATTACTTACTTATTTGAATCTGCACATAATCCATAGAGAAGCTGAAGATATTTACTGTCCCATTCTTCCAGAGCATTTGAGAAGTTTTGTTTATCAACCTGTGAAAGCTTTTGAAGAAAAGAAACTATTTCCTTCGGAGTGAGAAAAGCATTGGAATTGACAGATGTGCCTAGCTTTCCGAAGTCATCTTCAATCCACCCTTTTATTACCTCAAGTATGCAAAGCAGCACGGTAGCATCAGTACCTTTCTCAGCAAGCAAGGTATTCAATATGTTAGTTACGGATTTTTTGCAATCTGGAACAATCATGACCCTTTCACTAATAAGTTTCAGCACAGATTTCAGATTAGAAATAACTGCTCCAACATCGGCACCTTGACGAGAAGAGGAGACTGCAGAATCTAGCACAGATTTCTGATTAGAAATAACTGCTCCAACATCGGCACCTTGACGAGAAGAGGAGACTGCAGAATCTAGATCTTTTGTCTGACCCTGAAATAGAAGAAAATTTTCGCTATATGTAATTCAATGAAAGAGAGAAGGGATGTTATCAAATTTTAAAACATCATAAAACAAACTATAAACAAAAATGTTCATTCCAAAATATAGTAATTTGGAAAATAACAGAAATTTATTCAACCCTTCTAGATGAAATAAGTTCATTACGGGGGCTGAACATAAAAAAATAAACAGTACAACTTAAAACCAGCGCCCTCTTTAGTAGAAAAAGATTAACAATGACCATTTAGTTAGGGGCATTTGTCTCTACTTTGATGGAGGTCCTGAGTTCAAATCTCACAGACGAGAGTTTGTTCTATAGTTGAAAAGAAAAAAAGAATCAGTAGACAAAGGTCAATTATGTCAAATCACATGAGTGCTTGGGTTGATTATTTGTCATGGTACCCCTGAATGAAGCCTCAGAGCCTTACCGTACAAAACTCGATCAAACTTTAGCAGTAAAGTTTGCCTCATACATATAAATGTAACTTTCTAAGAATATTTCTAATGTAGCAAATTGGATGTGATGGCTTTAAACTTTTATCATACCCCCACAACCAAAAAAAACAAAAGGGAAAAAACAAAGAGAAAATGTATACTCTGTATCTTAAATGGTTATGCACACAAATGAAGTTCATAGAACCGTCCCACTACTTGCATGCAACAGATAATCAAAATTCAAACACCAAGAATAGAGAACACAATGCTGTGTTTTTAAAAAAGTGACCAAACAAGAAGAAACAAAGAAAAGCACATTAATGACAGCAGATATGAACAGAATAGGAAGCGTAATCCACATTGCAGCAAGGCAAACAAAGAGAAATAAGAAATAAAAAAGATTAGGAATCAAAAAAAAATTTCACCTTAATGAAGCATTAATTTATGAAACATGAAAGAGGTAAACATATGAGAAAACAGATACATACTTGTCTCAAAAGAGAACCTGCTGATGACCCCATATCCCGTGCCAGGCGTTGAAGAATACGAACCAAGATGTAAGGATCAACAAAGTTCTTCTGCACCTCTGTCAAGGTTCTAATCACAAGCAGCACAAAGCTAATTGAATTAGCAGTGCTCTCTTCACTCGATGTTTGAGGAGCTGTAACAGTATTGATGTGCTTCTGTATTAGTTCATCAACCTTATGATATAATAGTTTCACATCTTGTGGTGTAGTAGCTGCTTCTGGAGGAAAAGCAACAAAGACCATTTTCAACAGGGAGCACAATGACTTTCCAGCATCCAACAGTTTATACTTGAAACATGGTTCAAGAATCTGTCCAAAAAAACCCACAACACCGAAGTTGAGTGCATAAGTCTAGGTAATAGTAGACTTTGTAAAAAAGAAAAACAGATGACAGTGTAAGAACATACCTGAGAAATTTGGTTGATATTATTTTTGATGAATAAATGTGGCTGCTTCTCTAGGACCTTATTCATAACATCCAAGCCCTGCGCGAGGGCTGTGGAAGGGTCCTTGGACTGAGGTTGAATGCTGCTTAGCAACTTCTCTAAATAATTAAACTTAACATTGGCAGTTGGCCACACCTCCAAAGCTTGTGAAAGTAGCTCTAAAGCTTGTTTGTACATAGTACTTGCTTCCTTGTCCTTAGGCTCTATGACCAAGGCAACCTGTTTCCAAAAGTCAATAAAGGGCTGAGACAATTAACCATCAAATGAACAAATCATGACAAGCTTTGATGCAGACCATGGAACTACAAACAGAAGTACACAGACTGTATGTCACGCTCATCATCAGCGACCTAATGAAAAATTACCTCTTCAATTACATATAGCACTTGTACTATAAACCTAGAGACCACTGAAAACAAAAACCACCATAGAACAAAATTGAATTATTTATTGAGTAAATGATGCCAAAGTCTAAGATAGCAGTCATCTTTTTTCTTTGTCCAGAACATCCATGGAAGGAGTGCCAAATGGAGAGCATCACTGCCAGAAAGCTTAGAGGTTTCTTCTATGCGCCAAATTAATGAGGTATTGAATACAAAAATTAAGTATTTTCAAAAAATCTTGCTCGTACGTGTAAACATGAGTAATGAGTTGAAAGGACTTTACCCTTATAAGGAAATTGATAATCATTTCCTCCATAGCAGCATTTGGCTTGAATTCTTCATCAGGTTGGCTAGCAGATCCAGGGGTCTCAATGTTAGGTATTGATGATGCACCACCAGGAGACATCACACAGAGGGATTGAAGACCAGGTTCAACTTTGACACGCTTCGTTGAATCTTCAGGAAATGTAGACCCATCCACAGAGCGCTTAGGATCAGCACTAGCAGGGCCTGGATTAAAACCCTCACTGTTCTGATTGGTGACATCACCATCCACTACTATTTTCATTTCATTTTGCCTTTGTCTTTCCCAGCCAACCACCAAGCCAGCAAGTTCAATTGCGAGACGCCTGTTTTCTGCGGAAGTGTTGTAAGGCAATCCAAGGCGACTAAGAGAATTGACCATCTGAGGTACAAATTGAGCTCTACAGCTGTAAAAGAGATCTGAATGGCGCACAATAAGCTGGAAAATGTGAATCAGATTAGGAATTGAGTGGCCTTCCTCAACCAAAATTTTTTTGGTGTACCGTATCCAAATTGGCATGCGAGAATCTCCAAGCGGCAACCTACGTGGCAGTGCTGGCATTAGTATATCGAGGGCCTGCTTGACCAGCATTTTATTCTCTTGCTGGCAAGTTCTCAGAAGTGCTACAAAAACCTGCATTCTCAAATCAACGCCCAGATACTAAATTAAGATAACTTTCATTGTAATAAATTACTCAATTTGAACCCAAAGTTATGAGCATATTTGGGTTGTGAGTGCTCTCATCACATGCTGATGGGCTCCAGTTTAAAAGAGAAGTATAAATAGACCACTCTAACAATCCAAGATTTGGTAAATTGCTAGAATTAAAGTATTGATGTCATTCCCATTCCCAAGCAAAATTGTGTCAGCATAAATACTAAACACAAAAACTGAGATCTTTTTACATGACAAATACAGCATGAAAACCTAAATTTCCAAAGCAGTAAAACTTAATGCCAATAACAGGTTAAAACCTTGTGCCAACAGGACATTAAAATTGATATCATGTCCATAATGTGCCATACCTGGAGTATGATTTTTTCTGGGGCTTGATAGGCCTCCAAGAAGTGGCAAACATTTACAAATGCCCACTGTTTACTGGCACTATCTTCGCGTTTGAGATGATTCCAACCAAATTTGATAAGTTCTTTCCTATGATGGACAAGGTCATTCTGCAGATACTTGAGAAGCAAAGTGGCAAGCTGCAAAAGTTCTATTCTCAAGGGCTCATCATATTCAGCAGAAACCTATGGAAGCACGAAATTGGTAAGATATAGAAACAAAATGAACTTCAGCCTAAAAAATAGGGACAATTTACCAAGAAAATAAGATAAGAGATAGTGGCGCTGGAGACATTTAATTTTTTCAGAAAATATACCTCTTCTGGAGGATCGAGAAGTCTATCAACAATCGTTTTTATAATAGGTTGGTCAACAACTTCCCAACTTTGATCATTTTGGAAGGAATGAGCCAACATCGGAAGAATGAGCATTTGCATAATAACCACCAGATGATCGTGGCCAAGTTGTTTTGACTGGAAAAGATTTAGAAAATGCAAGAGAAGTGCTTTCTTAAAGTTAGGTGGATATCCTTCTGCAACCTGAAAAGAGACGATGATTGTTTCACAAACAGTCAACACAAATAACATAAAAACTACATAAATTTAAAGAACCCGTATTCAAAGTACCTCGATGATATAAAACTCCTTCAGAAATGTAAAATCAATTCGAGTATGAAACAAGAAGATGGAGAGTATATCAAAGAGAACATTCACTTCTGTTTTGTCATGTCGTAAATAATTCAGGAAGCATTTGACAAGCCATTTGCTTTCTTTAACCTGCATTTTAGAAACATTAGATAACAAACAAGATCTGATGACGCATATTAATTGATACACACAGAAAGTTAAAGAATAACGGAGAGAAATTTATAAAAATTTAACAGCAAGTCAAAAGTGATATTTGATATTTCAACAAGCAAAATTAAAAATGCATCAACACTCCAAACAGCAAGAAGTATTCGGGGAAAAATATATATATATATATTAAACCCTCAAAAGGTCACATAATTTGCATAAGAGACAAAGTCGGGGGGTTTCCCCTATCTTAATATTACCAAATAGTATCGCTAATTTTCAAAAAATAAAAAATTACCCAATCGATAACCAACATAGAAAGTATACAACTTCTGTATAACAAGCCACTAAACTAACCTGCACTAAGTTCAGCTCCTGTTCATTATGTAGACGAGATAGTCTTGCAGGTGACTTCCAAACAAGTACCAAGGTATCAAACACAATTTGGTTACTCTGTAGCCAGCCAGGTATCAATTTGACTAAAGTTTTGATAAGTGCAAGTCCCCGAAAATAAGCATCTGGTGTTGCACCAGGATGTGCAGATGGTGGATTAGAACTATCAGGTACAGGCTTAACAAGACCTTCATCACCCAACAAAGCAGTAGGTGGAGTTGACGATCCCGAAGCAGTTGGCAAAAATTCAGGAAAGGCGCTTGCGAGTATTTTCTGTGGTGATTTAGCAAGTTCATCTCTCAAAGGCTGGCCAGCATCCGATCGGATTATATACATAAACCTATAGATTATATGACTAAATCAAATAAATGCATATAAAGGGAACTGGTGATTTAGAAACAAAATTCCATGAGATTTATACATATTTGAAAATTTCATCATAATGATAGGATAAATACATCTCTCAACATATTTAGACATACACATTTATTTATAGAGGCAAAGAGTTTTTAGATCACTTGGTCACCATTGACCATGAAAACGTCCATGGACACCAACCGCTGGATCAAAATTCAACGATTGGCATTCAAATTTGTTTAAGTCCAGTATTTTACTTTTGGGAATTAATGTCAACCATCGTATTTTGATCCAACTGCTAGTGACCGTGGATTTCATGGTTAATGATGGCCAAGAGGTTATAACTATATATGTATATGTATATCACATCCATACATTACCTCCTGAAGTACTTTGGTTCACTTAAGCGAGCAAGAAAATAATCAACTGCAAGTGTTGCATAGCGATTCAAAAATTTTGTCAGTGGAAGACGATATGGACTGTTAATCTCACTGTATACTTGTCCCGGAAGAAGTGCTCCTTCCAATTCTATAGTCAAGGTTACAAGTTCATCAAGGAACTTTGATGCAGCTATAGGAAGAAGGTGAAAAAGCTCGATAATAGCTGAAAAGAACACAAATTTGACATCATATCATCTGTAATCATGCATATGCGTAGGTATACAAGAACCGATGACCAAAAGTGGACAACCAAAAATATATTACCAGCTGCAATTTTTGGCTCTTCACCAGCCTTCCATGATTTCTGGCTTTGTGCAAGTTTTTCAGGCTCTAACCATTTCTTTAGGTGTTCCAGCAGTTTGCCGCCCAAGGTAACATTAAACCAATTGGACAGAAGTTCAAGAAGACGGGCCAGACCTTGCAGAAGAGGCATGCTCAGATTCTTCGTATGTGCCAAGTTCACCAAAATAGGCCTGAGGCTGCTCTGCAGAAGTTCTTTTGGCATCCTCTGCTGATTAATAACCTGCACAGCAATGGAGTAGAGTATGTTTTCTTATAAGAAACGGAATAGAGTACATTTAAAAATAATAAACAGACTTCTTAAAAAACCCCAACTTTATAAATCATCCACCATATGTCTTAACAAACCAAAACAAAACATGATAGACAGAAAAGTAACATCACCAGTCAAATAGACAAGCTACAATAAGTGATCCCTAATGTGAAACCTAAAAACAGAGGCCAGTGCTTTCCTAGGATAATCATCATAGTCATCGATCATTATACATTCAGACATGTATTATAGTAAGACAAGAGCAAAAACCATATAGATTGACTAATTTAAAAGGAAACAAGACCTGTCGCAAGCCTTCCTTAGCCACAGCAACAATTTCAGGTGTTCGACATGTCAAAGATTTGAAAAACATGGAAATGATCTTTGCACGCAGTTCTGAATGATTTGGAGTTTTGAAATCTGCCCACGCCATAGTAGTACAGAGTAGCTCAATGCAGGCTGTTCGAAGCTTGTTTAGTGATGTTGCCACCTTTGGGTTCATAAACTTCACAACCCATACAGTTTCATCAGCCTCAGCTATTTGCAAAGCTTCTTGGAGAAAATTAACCAATTCTTGAGTCAGCTTGAGAAGAGGTGGCCTCAAGGCAAGGCAAAAGTTTAAAGCTGTAACTGTTCCCACCTGTATAACATCAGATCAAGTCAAAAAAAAATTCAACAAATCCCGCTAATGACCATTAGCAACATAGATTACCTGTTGATCAACAGTTTTTGACCGGAGTGATCGCACCAAAAGAGGCTGAAGCAAATTTTGATATAATGGTTCAAGCAGCTCAGATACCTCACTACCAGTTCTACTAGCCAAAAGTGCCAAGCATGACTGCACATTCTTTCTGACGATAACAGATGCATTTGGATTAAACAATTCTGTAGCAAGGAAATCAACTACTCCTTGAAAACTTTGCCGGCGTGGTTCACTGTTTGCTTCGTCAACATTATTAACCACGCGAAGAACCTGTGTAAGCACCTGACTCGTCTCTTCTTGCTCTTTGCTAGCATAAATAGGAAGCCTTTTAAGAACATATACCAAACCACGCACAATTCTTACTTGGAAAAGGCACAGGGTCTCAACAGTAACCTTTCCAACCAAAGCACCAAGTCCCATAACACCTCCCATCTGCGCTTGCCATGTTGTCCCATAGCAACAATGCAAAAGACGGGGCAGAAGTTGCTCGAAAACAGGGATGCGAACACTTGGAGGTGGAGAATAAACAGGATTCAATGACGGACTAGAGACCATCATTGGAGTACCAGGGCCTCTTGACATCAGCACATCAGCATGCTTTGAGCGAGCAAGAAAGAGAAGTGTCTCAGAGAAAACATTTAAAGCACTAAGTGCAGCCTTGGCATGGAGCCTGTTTTCATCTGCTAGCACATCAACTAGAGCATCTAAAAATATAAGAGGGTGCAACTCTTTGAGGTTTGATGAACTACTATTCTTTGACCTGGAACTGGAACCAACATTGGCATTTGACGAAAGCATAGGGCCCCCAAGCGTAGCAGTAGCAACTGCAGTATTTGTTAAGGATGAATCAATATGGAACATCATTGCAAAATGGCGGCATACATTGACAACAAAGTCATCCTTGGGGTCTTGGAAATCTGGTTCCACACTGGCAGCAATAACAGTCATTAAGAGAATCTTGAAGACTGACTTTTCAGCCATAAGTTGGGTCTTCGTCTTTACACCTAAGTCAGCCTGCAATTATGTCTAAATTTATTATAATGTAATACTATTTTTCTATTTTATTTCCCATTGTGGGGTATCTGAAAACAAAAATTCAGCGGGAAGAAAAATAAAGGACAGGTTAAGAAAAGAAATTGAAACAGACAATAAGAAAATAAAACGCATCTAACCATTAACAGAGTATTCTTTTTCTTTTATTATTATTATTTTTAATTGGTTGGGGGAAGGGGGGAAATATCTGGACAATAAAGTTTCTAAAAGATGAGACATAAACAAAGGTGTAAGAATGAACACAGATAAGGTGTAAAAGTCAAGGTATAATACAGATAATTAATACCCACATAGGTATATTCTAATACATGGAGTTCACTTGTGCATTAACTCGTAGCATGTTCTAGGTAAAGTGCTAAAGAATAAAGATGGACCCACAGTGCAGACCAATAACAGGATCCCAAAAAAGTTTATCAACGTCCGAGCATCATTTTTCCAACTTCAAAGCCAACAGTGAATAAAACTACAATAAAAGGCAATAAAAAAAAATTATCTTGAGGTTCAAATCACTAGCAGGCTCAGCATTCAGCACTTTACAAAGTGATAACATTAACCAAACCAACCTTTATTCCTGATGTTTCAGGCCGCTGCCAAGAAGAATCAACTGCAGAAACTAACAAAGTTGACAACTGACTAGGTGTGCATCCATTGTCGGTAAACTTTTCTGGCAAATTAAGCTGAGATGATAAGCAAACACGAAGAAACTTCAAAGCCTGTTTTCGGTAGAAAGTATCAATTCCACCATTTTTGTGCATAACAGCTACCACAGCAAGATTAATGCATCGATCCAATGGCACCAAAAATGGGGTTTCAGGCTCAAATGTAAGAATCACACGGAGTCCATGCTCTGGGTTCTCCTTGCACTCAAGTGCAAGGGGCTCTTTCAGAAAACGCCTGTTACGACCTCCTAACTTGCCAAGGAGTTGCAATGCTTTTGCACCCCAAGGATAGGGAGCAGGCCTCAAATGAGACCATAGGGCCAAAATCACCTCAGACATTACATTAGCCATGCTAGGTTCCAAGAAATCAGGATTCAAACTATCTACCCAAAACTCCAGTGTTCTTAAACCTAAGCCCACAAGATCATCGCTTCCTTTAAGACACAAAACAAGAGGCTTCATAAGACGGGGAAGGTGTGGTAACAATGAGCTTAAGCGTGCAGGCAAGGTTAAGCACAACTCCAGCAAAAGGTCCCTCATATCTTCCCCTGTTGGACCCTCAAGCATCATCAACAGCATATTAAGACACGGTTGTAACATAGGAATCAAATCCCTCATAAGAAGATCAAATTTGCATGCTGCCAGTGCTCGAAACGTTGCGCGAAGAAGTTGCATATAACCAAGAGGCTTTTCAACTTCAGTAGCATTTTTCATGCAAACTTCCATTATAACAGGCACGTGAGGTTGCAAAATACGTTCAAAATCTGAAGGCGCCTTTGAAACTGCGCCAAATATGAACCGAAAGAGATGCAATACTAATTTTGCTGCAGGTTTATCTGGATGCTTCAGAACATCAAGTTTACTGTTTACAAGATAATTAACCAAAACATCTGCAAAAGGCCGATATACTTTAGGGGCTTGCAGAAGTGTAGAGAATATGTGAACCAATTGGTTGTTGCAAATCATGCACTCAAAAAGCTCAGGCATACATAACGAGAACATGTCCATTAAATCTCGAGGTTCCATGATAGCCAGAATCTGGGAAAAGAGCTGCAACATATCCCTCTCCTCATCCTTCTCCTTGAAGAGAGCCAAGCAATGCACCCCACTCTTTAAAACACCAGAAGCTTTCCGAACCTACCCAAGACCAAAGTCAGACCAAGTGAATCAAACCACAAAACAAACCCCAAAATTCATAACTCAATCTGTAAATACCTCATCTTCTCGCATCCCCTTAAATGCTTGAGGCGCTGGTAAATTAGATGATGGTGAAACAAGCACCTGTGGGTGTGTTCCATGGGTGGAAGCAGAAACCTTAAACCATCAGAAATGTCGCATAAGATAACAAATGTTAAGCAACTCAGAACAAACTATTGACATAGTTAATAATACCTGTGATCGCGGCAAGTGCGCATGGGTAATACTCCATATGATAGTCTTCATTCCTGACAATATATGCAGCACAGATTGATCAGCACATGATATAAAAAAAATTAGCAATACCACTCAAGAACATATCAGAAGTGTAAGAAACTTAAGATCACAGATTCCTTAAACAAGTAACACTATAATCTATAACTGGAGACAGAAAAAAAAATATTACGTGAAGGATCACTTACCCATGACCAATGTCTTAATCAGATGTTTACAATCATTGACTTCCTTAGAATGTTCGACAGTGACCTGCAAATTCAAAACTGCCTGCAAACAAATGATATGCCAAAGAAATTATTTTTTTAAAATGCCATGTTTTATGAAAGGGCATGGGGTGGCTATATAATCAAGCAATTAAAGAATTGGACAAAAAGTAAGTAGACAAACTTCGAAGCATGGATATCTATTTTCAAGTTATTCTTCTAATACACCCAATATGCCCACATTTTCTTCCATATCAAAAGGAATGTCAATCTAACTTTCTTAATAAATGCATTAATGTCAGCAGTATTTCAAACCCTTCAAAACCTGCAATGTCCTTCTCGAATGTCTTTATAATTGCAGAAAATTTTAAAAAGGAAATTGAAGGCTTTTAGATTCCATGAGCAACTGAAAAGTATTTATAAATCCACAGGCTTAATCCTCAATGATGAACATATTTAATACCATTTTTATGACCTTTTAAAGTGTAACATAGGGAATAATCTATAGTTAGCATTTAGAAGGGAAAAAAAAAGGATGTGCTTTAGCATAAAAAAATTAAAGGTGGAGAGTACAAGAAAAAATTAAACGGACAACTAGAAACCATAAAACAAATTATGCATACACAAACAGTAATCTCAAAGAGAAGTTGTCAAAACTACCTGCACAGGGAGCTCAAGCTTTGACCTTAGAGTAGCACGGTCCTTTCCCTCCTCAGCCTCCTCCAACAGCTATCCGGAAATACAGAGACACGTCAGCATCAACAAATATGCAAGATACAGCAATCAATCAACCAAGATCATTAGCATCTGGATAAGATGGATTTCAGCAAATGCAAAGAACCTCAAAAGCCAATAGCATCTTAATAACAGTCAATTGACTGCCAACCACTCCCGAAACATAATTAACTAAATTATTTCAATACATTGTCGGAAAACAAACAGATCATTATTTGAGCTACAGACAATATGGTATGTAACATAAAACTCCTTTACTGCAGCACACAAACCATACAAAGACAATATATATATATATATATATATATGTATGTATAAAACATAGGAGAGCATTTTTGCTCACCAATTTAACCCAACCCAAGGTGTATCCTCACCACCCTCTCAACACTTGACACGTATCCTTATGCATAACCATGGTTCCATAAATACAAAGTAAAAAGTTAACCATGGTTATGCCTATGGACACGTGTCAAGTATTAAGAAGGGTGGTGATAATAGACCTTGGGTTAAAGTGGTTAGCAAAAATATTTCCTAATAAATAGCCCATATGACGAGACAAAAGCTTCCACATGAAACAAAAATATCAAATAAAGAAGAGACCCTTGCAGTTGAGAAAATCTACAGCAGTCAAAGATTACCTGAGGAATAGTCCGCTTGAAAGTACTAAATTTTCCAACAAAAGCATCCAATATACGCCCCTTCAAAGAACCATAATATTTTATAAGCTAAAGGGAAGAGAAAACTCATAAAGTTTACCAATTCAAACCATTCTAGGCAAACAGTTAGATTGCAACTCAGACCAATAGAATCCGTGCTTCATCCATAGATGGTTGGTCGACACCTTTCTCAAATATTGGCTCCACCTGTGTACCAACAAATATATAAATATAACTGAATTTCCAAATGAAAATAAAAACTGCAAAATCTCTTGAATAATAGAGTTAGCATATGCACCAGATTCAGCATCAAGCGAGCACAAGTAGTATGAATGCTCAGTGACAATGAAGCATCATGCATGTTGCTCGAAAACAAGTATATGATTCGAGATAACTGCAGCACATAATGTAAGTATGTTAGAAGATACTTTAAGTTATGACGAAAACTGTGAAGATACACATCAACAAAAATCAAATTTTAAAGCAATCAAATTAAAAAAGAAACAAAGTGCCAAATGAGCCACTGACCATTACAGAAAAATTTTAAACAAAACACAAAACCCTGTTAAACAAGCAAATGCTGACACTTGAGATAAAGTACAATTCAAAGTATGTATAACTAAGTTAATTATCCTTTGTTATGCCTTTTTGTTAATTGGTTGAAAACAACCCATAAAAGCCTGAAATTGAAGAAGTATAATCAAAAGTAATCCACAACATACGAATTCCTGTGATTGACATCATTGCTTCCTTTTTTTCATTTCCAGTTTCAGTGTACATACTAACAGTATCATGTATTTACCTCAGTTCTCAAATTTATAAAAACTTGATAAGAAATCATGACAACAACAACAACAAAAGCATATGATAAGAGGATAAAATTGAAATACAGTAGTAGCAAGACTCTTCGGGCATGAATAACTGTATAAATCTTGCCACTCAGATCTCCAACAGCTTCATAGGCATTATTCCCTCCTGTACGACATGGAAATTGATTGATTCTGTGTTTTCTCAATCCAACAAAAGGAAGGTTACTTGGGGTCATAAAAGACTTATTTGAAAGCATAATCATAACGCAGGACAACCAGTAAGTGCCGTATATCTTAACCTTGAAGAAAGTTCCTTTAAGGATTCAGGTTGAATCAACTTTAAACGACCTTCATAACAAAGAAACTAAGTAAAAGGGAGATGGGCAAACTGTCCACCTAAGACTAAGCACAACACATAGGGCAAACCAACTACAGACACAAGACTAGCAAAACAAACATCACCATGAAACTCCCACCCATCATTATCCTCTCACTTTTGCAAAAGTGCAACAATCAAGTGAACATAGGTAATTCCTGAAATTCATCCATGGAGGATGATGATAAAGATGTACAACCGTACAATAAACAGTGAATGAAAGTTGTATAATGATAAATAGGATTGAGCCTCATCAAAGCCAAGATAGTGATAACACTGGTTTTACATTGGATATCACACAAAGGAAATACCTGTGACAAGGAAAGGTCCGCACGAACATGATGAACAATCTCTGCAAGTAGACTATATGCCAATGGCCTCAATGTCTCAAAGCAGGCTCGACCACTTCCAACCAGAACCCTGAAAAGGTTAAAGAAGAAAAGGGTTAAAAAAATCGGAGCTTAGTCAGCTATAACAATATTCTATCTTCTCTAAGTTCAGGAGGAATAGCTAATTCTTATTTGTATCTGAAACTAAAAGTCAAGAAGAACTCCAAAGTAGAAATGTGGGAATGAACACTATTGTTCTCTCCAGTGGAAGGTTGTGCATTATCAGAAACAACAAATATGATAAAATCTGCTCACATGGGAAGCAGATTGGGGGGAGAACCATCATGTAGCGGCCCTTTCCCTAATAAAATTCAACATGTCGGCCATAAAAAAAACTTCAATCTGATGGCAACCAATATGAACTTTCCAGCAGAAGGATCGTTTAGGAGGGGGCAAAGGTTCCCATAAAATTAAAAGAGTAATTCTATTATCTACCCTATGTGTCAAATTTTGGTATTCATCTGTCCTTTAGCAGCAGATTTATATACATCTCTTCAACATGATGCTTTTTGTTTAACCATGAATACATAACAGAAGAAATAAACCACTCTTGAAATCTGTTCCAAGAACATGTTTTAAGACTACTAACAAGAATATCTTTTCTCCATTATATAAAGATATTGCATTTATACAACTCAGCTTGACAATGAACTTTCTGTATCATTGTTTTGGCAATTAGAGGTCACCATATGATTGAGTCAACAGTGTTACCTTTCCTCCAATAGTGTGTCAATCAGAGGAAATAAACCCCTCTTGAAATCTGTTCCAAGAACATGTTTTAGGGCTACTAACAATTCCTGCATTCATAAAATATTTATGATTCAGACTTACATTCACAGAAGAACAAAATGATCCAAGTGGAGAAAAATAAACTAAGAGACAAAATTTTTTACCTTTCTAGTTGATACAGAGTCTGAACATGTAACTAGCAAATTAACTATGCTTTTACATATGCTTTCTTCATGCGGCCTGATATAATCAGCAAAGCTCTTCAACAGATACGTTAAAAACGAAACTGTCTGCAATGGAAAAGAAACAAATTAGTAAAAACTCATGAAAAAACCTGGACGGGTTGGACAAAAAAATGAAAATGATTAAACAAGTGTAACAAACAACAGTGCCCTACTCGTTTAACATTTAATACATATAAACTCAACAGAAACAACTGCTTACCTTCACCTGTGCACCCTTCAACTCAATGAAATGAGTCTTCAAATGAGGAGGAACCTTTTCAGGGCCAGGAACAGATATAGCAGCAACCATCAAAGGCAACAGGTGAGGAATATTGGTCTGCACAAGTCGACTATACAACTGAAACAAAAACATGACCACCAGGGGACTCTCGTTAATTATTTTGAAAGAACGTGTACTGGGGTTAAGCTGCCCACCCCCAGCATACCCACTACCACCAATACCGCCACCCCCAATTCCACCACCACCGATACTACCGATACTACCGCTCAATGGTTGATCTAAAGAAGTATCGATAGGCTTGATATCTTCCCCACCCACCGCCCCATTTTCAAAGAAATGGTTAACCGTCAACTTAAAGTTTTGGTAAACCTTACAAACAAAGTCCAAGAATGGTTGAACTTCATTTTCCAGAGTGGGCCTGAAGTTCCTAAGGAGGTCAAAGATAATACGGATACATATTAAGCCATTCTCTTCGTTGTCAGTGGTTAGTACTTGCATTGCGACCTTCAAGAGTTCCTGGACAAAAGGGCGGAGTACTTCACTGTGGGGGAGACGATTGAGAATCTCCACCACGATGTTTCGGAGCTTGTGTTCGGGATTGTCCGTGAACTGTGGTTTTGTAATTTTCTGAAGAATCACTGAGAATGCATGAAAGTAGCATCTTAGGAAATTCAAGTACTCGGCAGTGTGCGCAATCTCTAGGCTGTCCCGAACCTCCATTGCCATCTGAAGCCTTGCCTGAATTGCTGTTCCAAATAAGAAGGAACAAAAGAAACAAGAACATCGTCAAGGCCTTCGTTCAAACGTAGTTAAATCAATAATTAATCAAATCAAAATTGAGCTGTTTTGTTTTGTTATACTATTGGGTGTGAATACAGAGAACATGCTTCTTTCAATAGGACCTGCATTACTGGAAAATAAATTAAAATTTTGCACAGGAAGATGAATATGATTCTCATATTAAGGGCTCGTTTGATTAAATTTTATCAAAATTATATAACTTTTGCTCAGAAGCTAAAGGGAGGTTTAAGAGTTCAAAACCATAGTTGAATTATGCTTCAGAGAGAGAGAGAGAGAAAGTACGGAGGTCATGCTCGACGAGACGCCGAGCGTGTTGCTCGAAATTCTGAACCGGACTCATGGCTTAGTAGAACAAGCAGAAAGCAACCAAAAAACCCTAGCTTTGCCGCGAAAAACACGAAACGCACAGCTTCGAAACCAAATTTCAAAGACTCTGGTTGCTCAGATCAAAGTGCTCCTGGCGCGACTCTGCAGCCTCTTCTTCTTCTACTTCAAGAAGCACTCCAAGCAACCGGAGCTCTCCTACTTACTGCTGTTGGTCTAAAATGGAATTACGGATAAAACGGAGGAGAAATTGAATTTCAATGTTGGAAATTAGGGTTTTTTCGAGTGATGGTCGGGAAATGGTCGTGTAATTTCTCTATATGTTATGTTATTTACGCTGAGAGTGTTCTGTGTTTCTCTCTCATCGTGTCCTCGAGGACTCGAGATTTGGGGGGAATTGCGTTGAGTGGTTTTCAGGGACGAAGGCCATTTTATAGAGTGGTTTAACGGACTCTGAAACCGTTAGAGGCCCAAATTTAATTTAGGGACCTGCTAATGAGATATTGGGCTGATTTTATTTGCACAGGGTTTAGGGTTTAGGAACTTGCTATTGAGATAAAAGGCTGGGAGAGAAGTTATATTTGTACCCAGCATCGCACACACCTAGGGATCGTTTGATACGGCGGATTGTCATAAACTGGACTAAATTCTGGGACTGTCTTGGATTAGCTTCTCGAATTGATCTAAGCTAAATTAAGTACTGACCTACGTTTGGTATTGCGTCGGACTAAAAAATAATTATTTTAATATTTAATTTAATTAAGGATTTTGACCCAAATAACAATTATAAATAAATAAATAAAAATCTAATATTTAATTTTAATTAAAGATTTTGACCTATAAATAAATAAAATTCTAATATTTTTTAAAGGCTAAAACTTATCTCCTTTGTTTTCTTTCTTCCTCCTCTACTTTATCTTTTCTTCTTTCTTTCCTTCCCTGGCCCCTTTTTTTTTCTTTCTTTCTTCCTCTTTTCTTCTGCCCTCCCTTTTTCTTTTTTCTTTCTTTCTTCATATTCTTTCCTTTCTCTTTTCTTCATCCTTCCCTCGTTTTCAATCTCTCTTCATGCCACACTATTTAAGATTTCATTTGGAATTTTGTTTCATTTTGAATTTTTTTGCAATCACCACATACCAGAAATGGATGGCTCTCTTAAAAGTTGGGGTGCGGAGGCTGAGAGCACCCCGAGATGAGGATGGTTGTTCAATCAACCAGACTAGGGCTAGACCCAATATAACCATCAACCCAAAATTGGGTTTGTGGTGGCTGGTTATGGGTTTGATGATGGTGGTCAGACGGTCGTGGATTCGTCGTAGTGGTGGTCAGGAACTCGTGGTGGTGGTGGTGGGGGACTTGTGGTGGTGGTGGTCGAGCTCATGTGTTTGATGGTGGTGGTGGTATCCAGCCAGACTCGTGTGTTCAAAATAACACCTTCGCTATTTTGCGAACCACGTTTTGGGCTTGCTTTATTAGACAAGCGAGTCCAACGTTTTTTCCCCATTGAACTATACAGTCCCATTTAAGTTAATCATCTCCCTTATCAAATATGGGTTTCAAGTACTATTTAACCTAACCCAGTTCAATAAAGCATAGTGAGGCATGCCAAACGTGGCCTAATCTCCATTGCGGAAGGAGAGAAAAAGAGGGTAGAAAAAATAGGAAGTGTCGTGTATACCCTTAGAAGTTTTTGTGTTTGAACGTAACACTATCACTTATTAGGAATGGATATGCGAATAAATGAAATTATTTCAATCAATTATTTTTTTCACTTTTACAAACACATAGGGAATCAAACAAATGTAAGTCCCATTTTAAAAGTCATAGTTTAGATTTCAATTCATGAGAATTAGTAAACAATAATAATTGGAATCAACTTCATTCCTATTATGATTCTATATGATTAGTAAACAGTTTAATGAGAATGACTTTTCAAATCAATTTATTACTTCCCATATTTCTAAATTTCCAAATTGATAGTAAAGATATTTAGTTTAGTGTTATTAATTCACTCAAATTATAAACATGCGGAGGAGACATGTTTATATTTGAAGGTATAATATTAATACATATATATTTGTATATAGCATAACTGAATGAATTGATAATATCACATGGCAATTTTATGGTCACATTGAAAAACTCATCATCCACAAGGTTGTCAAACTAAGGCCCTGTTTGGGATTGCTTTTTAAGCCAAAAATCTAATTCACTTTAAAGTTAAGTAGTTTAAAGTGTTTGGTAAAAATAAAATATTCCAATTATTTTAACAGCAATGGCATTTTGACAGCAACTTTAAAATGAGGTTCTCGGTTGCTTTTCAAAGTTGTTTTAATTTTTTTTTTAAAAAGCATTTAATGAATTGTTTTAATTCCCAAAATACCGTCATTAATTTTTAAAAATGACACCACCTCCACTACCACATCCAACTCCACCACCTCCACCACCACCTCTACCACCACTACCACCACCACCACCATGCCGCCACCGCTACCACCATCTCCTCCTCTTCCTCAACCTCCACCACTACCTTTTCACCACCACCTTCACCTCCATCTCTTTCACCACCACTACCACCATATGATTAGCCCTAAGGTCTAAAATATCGATGGTTTCGGAAATATCGGTAGTCCAAAAATACATAAATTTCTATGGAAATATCAGGATATTAACAATATTGATAAAAATTGAATAAAAACTATGGAAATTGTAAGAAAAACTTGGAAATTTTTCTTGAAACTTTGGAGGATGTTTATTTAGTCAATTATTTATTACTTTATCATAAATAAAAAATTGGAAGGAAATGCAACGCATAATGGGTTTAACTGATTTAAGTTGATTATATAGCGAGCTAAAAAACATTGGGAGTGTAGAAAATATATAGTAATTAATGAAAGAAGATTAAACACACCAAAATAATTTATTGTCTTTTTTATCACAAAAGGTCCCTAAGGTTTGCGAAACTTTCAGGTTGCGTCCTTTATGTTTTTTTGTGTCATTGGTGGTCCTTAAGGTTAATACGTGTTCTCACAAATAGTCATTGCAGTTAGGTTCCGTCCAAAAATTTGTTAAATTGATGACGTGGCACACATGTCAATTATGGTGTTGAAAGAGGAAGAAGGATGTATCGTTGGGATTCAGATTGCTTGATTTATTTTAAAGCAAAGAGGATTTTTGAGAATATTTATATTTTTTTAATTGTTTAATATTTTGTTTAGAATAAAACAGATATTATTTTCCTATTAAGATTTTAACTAGGATTTTAATTATTTTCTTATTAGTTAAGTTTAGGATTATTATAGAATCTAAGGTTTCTTATTTTCTATTTAAGCCAACTTATGGAGTTGTATTTTTCATATTTTATGATATTATTAATTAAATTTAGAGATTTTCTCTATTTTCTAATGAATTCCGTTTTAGGGTAAATGAATAGCTCACAAGAGTCATTATTCTACTTACATGGAATACATGTAAGCTCAGGGATAACCACATTTATCAGATAACTCATAACAATTGCTTGATTTATGTCTTCAAACATAATCCATGTCTCTTAACCCATAAGAAGTGACAAAGCAGTACCACGAGACTTCACATCACACCTAATAATTGGCGGTATATATTTGTGATCTATCAATTACTTGGCTCCTAATACTTATTGATTTGTTTAACCCACATTGGTAACGGAAGGAAGCAGCCCAAACTCTGACAAGAAGCCAAGAGGTAACAAAGTGATCAAGATAGTCCAACCACTCTTGTCAACTTCAATTAACAAAATTCAGTGAAGTGGACGCCAAGGAAACCAAAACAAAAACCCCCCCATGATTTTTTTTCCTTAACTTCCTCTAAGCAAAGCTAGAACCACACCATCCATTTCCAACGACCTCCTCTTGCAGCTCCCCATTTTGAAACTTGTATTAAAAGGACCTTTCCTCATTAATTCCACTATTAATATCTTCTTCCCTTTCCTTGCGTTGATTGAGCATGATGAACACAGAGGAAGGCAAATTGGTGGTCATGGGCCGAGCAGAGATTGACACCAGAGCACCTTTCAAATCAGTGAAAGAGGCAGTCTTGTTGTTTGGGGAAAGAGTTTTAGTTGGAGAAATATATGCCAACAAGCTCAAAGAGGTTAGCTATAGCTCCTACCACAATACCATTTTACTTCTTATTTTTTTGTTGGGTCACATTTTTTCTAGTGTTAATGTTCAATTTCTATGTTAGATTGGAGCTGCAGGGCATGCTGCTTCTGCTCAATCAACAATTGGGGTCTTGGAAGCTGAGCTTGAAGAAACAAAGCGAAATCTTCAGAAAGTTAGAGAAGAAAACAAGTTAATGGCATACTGCATAAAGTCACTAAGAGATGATCTTGACCGTGCAAAGAAAGAGCTGCACAAGTACTTGAAGGCAAGAGAGTTTGATCAGAAGGACCCAGTTGATCCTGAGATTGAAGAAGAAGACCTTAAATTCATTGAGGATGGCGCCGCGAAGTTTGAAACCAAGATCATGTTGAGCCAAGACGCAGAGGAATTGGTGCAGAAGAAAAGATATGTGAAATTTGCAAGTCCTCCTACACTGGCCCAAGTCATTGTTAGCAAAGAAGACTTGGGGGAGAGAAACCCTTCTGTCAAGAAAACCAAGAAGAAGCCATTGGTGCCTCTGGTTGGGTGGCTTTTTGCCAAAAACAAGGCAATTCAAGAAGGGGGTGGGGGGTCTCCAAGAGCCTGAGGCTCTCATGAGCAGATTATGCAGAGATTATTAAGTAAATATATTCGTTTCAAGAATGTTTGTTGTTGATAAATGAAGCCTGCAAAAGGGTTTCCATTAACAGTCATTTTTATTGAAATAATCAGAGCTAAGGCATCATTTTTTTCTTTTATTTGGGTTCTCTCATTTTTCTAAGAAATAAGGAAATTGCTTCAAATTTTTGCAAATTTGTAAGGCGGGCTTGGGCCTAAGCTCAGCATGAATTATGTAAACATTTTATTATATGGGCCACAGAAGCATTGCAATTGTGCGCTGTTTACAATGAGCACACGCCGAATTAAAGTACATAAAAACCCACAAACCCATCTTTTTGTTGGATGATTATCCATCACCTCAATGAAAAATGTAACCATCACCCGAATAATTTACAAATGTATCGTATTTATTGATTATATCCTTACTTGAATAAGTAGTTAAGTTATGCAAGGGACTTGTAGCTCAAATGGTTAAGAATATTTATCCATATACCCGAGATTCTAGGCTTGATTCCCCCTTCTTCTAAGATTTTAAGTTCGATCCCCCATTTCTAATTATGTAAGGGACTTGTAGTTCAAATAGTTAAGGGGCATAACCAATACTTCAAATTGCAAATTGATATGATACAAATAGTTTTCTTATATCACTACATTCGTTCACATTAGAAATCATCTTTTGAACCGATGATCAAAATGAGCTTACTGGAGCCCAATGAGCTAAAACTCGATCCAACCAGAATCCAACTAACCCAAAAACGGGTTGTATACACCTGAAATGGCCCGGGACGACCCCATTGAGGACCCTAATTAATTAAAAAATGATGGCTATGGTGAACACAACAACTCCCTTAATATATGAGCAAACAAACAGACCGACAGCAAGTCCAATTCGAAGCATGGTGGGGAGATTGACCCCCACGTACCATAGTTAATTTGCCCCATCTCTCTCACATGCTCAATTCTGTATTTGTAATTCATCCCCCATCCCACAAATTCGTGGAACAAATACATTAGGGCACACATAAAAACAATACAATTTTCTTTCATTTTTCCAGGCCGGTAAGTCGGCGGAATCCAATAGGAACCATACATTAGTTATAGTTTCATTGAAAATTGTACACCCATGCACATGTAGCCATGTGAAGCCTAGCAGCGATGAAGACAAAAAAATTTATACTAGTAACATGCATCATGCATGCACGGCTATGAAGTCTACTTCAATTTTGAAATAAAATATATGTAACCAAACTAACGACTTAGTAATTTAATACATGCGGTGCTAATCACTCATTTGAGCTTAGTCTTCATTCCAGCATATGGTAAGACATTTGATTATGATTGTGAATATTTTTGTTATTTATTGGATACACCGTGTTCATTTATTTATTTTGTTACAAAATTGGATAACTAAATCCTTTTCAATTTATCGACTTAAAAAAAACATTTATCGATTTGAGTAAATCTTTGTAAAGATGATCTGGTCATATGATGGAAAACATTATATAGCAGATTCAAACAAGTGATTAGCGTAGTATTAAAACCCAACCAAAAAGCAAACTTATATAGATATAAATCTGAGTTGTCGTCCCATGCAACGCAATTAGATTCTCATATAAAAATATAGACCAACACCTTGACCCTTCTATCATATTCTCATAGTTCAAAACGACACCAAACCTTGAGAAACTCTAAAAGCAAAAATTATGAAAACCCATCTATGCATTCCCAGGATGAGAAGCAACGTCAACTCGTGCAGCAACAAAACCAAACGCCTGTCTCCGATGACTCTGCTTGAGCGGTTTCGCGAGGCGGTTTTCCGTTTGATCATGCTGTCTGCTGTCTCATCCAACAAGTCCACAAGCCACGCTGGCCGATCCAGCCCAGATGCGCAGCGGTATTATTGTCCACATGATGACCCTCACCACAGCGAGGCTGTAGCCGATTGCATCGAGTTCATCAAGAAAAAGGCTTCGCCGGAGGACGGCAACCGGGGCTCTTCCGCTAGTTCTAGTAAGCTCCATTGATGCCGTGGCAGATCGAGACGTGGTTATACCAGTTCTAGTTATGTGACATATTAGCAATTATTAGTTTTTATTTCATATTTGAATTTGTGTGAGTATATTGTCCATGAGTTTATGCCATTCTTTGTTTTTTTTTTCTTTAGATTTTCTTACAGAGGGAGAGGGTGTTTGCTGAGATTGTTAGGAGTGAATTGTAAATTGGTATATGCATTTACAGGGAATTAATTTCAGATTCATAAATTTGTCTTCTTTTTTTGTTGAGAAGCTTCTCAGTCGTTTTTTTTCTTCAGTTATCAATGATTTAATTATCTAAATCTTTCCTAGTAACTGTTTGCTTAATTAAACTAAGCTAATCGTTTTATTTTACTTTTGTCCAACAATTAACAAAGAAGAAACACACTAGTATGGGTTTTCTCTTTTTTTGAGAATGCAATATGTATGGTGTTTGTTCCATATGGAATCGAATTTGCAAGGATGAGGTGCTTGTCTTTAATCAGAAAAAAATGAAAAAGCGGATAAGATGCTTGTGAAAAAACTTCGGTCCTCATAGCACTTTGTTTATAAAATGATACATATTAACGACACTGTAGAGAATTTCAGGAATTTCAATATCATGAACGAGAATATAAGATTTATTAAAACTTTTGTCATAAGATAATTAAAGGTGTATATCGGTTCAAAACTAATATACTTTAGTCAATTTGTATAGGATATAGATTCGATTGTGATGTTTTCAATCCAGTAAAGTTTAAATCAAACTCAATCATTCAATTGATATTGAATTGAATTGGATAATCGATTTCGACCATAAAGATAAATGAACTAAAGAAGAATTTGGGCTAATAAGAGACCCGACCCGAAAAGTAAAAGCACACGAGCTAACAAACCTGGTCCAAAGTCCATAAAACACAAATACGCACTGGGCTGCGCTTGAGCTCACCCAATATCAAACTTGGCGGGTTTAGATAAAGGGAAAATTCAGACTAAAAAGAAAAACGACCCTGTGTCTATTTCATTTATATTGCTGAAGGTTGGAGACGGAGGCAGGAGGCGGAGGGCTTCACTGAAATTTTCAATTTCCCGGAATGAGATAGACCCAGAACCATATTAACCGATTCCCAATGGCTGGTATGAAAAATTTTACATTTTTCGCTTAGATTTGGTGTCAATTAGTGGAGAATTACTGATTTTGTTTACTATTTTTGTTCTTGCTGTGAAGGGGGTTCAGAAAGAGAAGACAAGGTCTCTATGGAGCTGACAGAGGAAATTCTTCAAAGCATGGAAGTTGGGTTAGCTTTTAGAGACTATGTAAGTACTTTTATCTCTCCGTTTCTGGTTGTTTTCTTCATTTAATAAATAAATAAAAACCACCATTGTCTTAGAGCTTTGTGTATTTGAATCTGAGTATTTGCTTTTATGCTCAGAGTGGTAGAATTAGTTCATTGGATTTTCACAAGGCGACTAGTTATGTAGTGACTGCTAGTGATGATGAGTCGATTCGTTTATATGATGTCTCCACTGCAACATGCTTGAAGACCATCAACAGCAAAAAGTATGGAGTTGATTTGGTTTGCTTTACTTCTCATCCTACCACAGTTATATACTCTTCCAAAAATGGTTGGGATGGTATGCTTCCACTTTACCTCAACTACCATGTTTGATATTTATGTTTGTCAGCTGTGTGGCATACTTAGAATGTGTTGTTTATACGACTGGTTCATTCAGAATCCTTGAGGCTTCTCTCATTGCATGACAACAAGTACTTGCGCTATTTCAAAGGCCACCATGACAGGTCTGGTTTCTGAGATTATTGACATGTTTTTTAAACTCAAGTGGGTGGTTGTACTGAAGTAGTTGAACATATCTGTCTAATTGGAGAAATTGGGTTTTGAACTTTTGTGTTTAGGGTAGTCTCACTTAGCTTGTGTTCTCGCAAAGACTGCTTCATCTCCGGCTCTCTTGATAGAACTGTTCTGCTTTGGGATCAACGGGCTGAGAAGTGTCAGGTAGGGGCCTTGGCATATGGGTATTGGGTTCGGTTTCTTATATTACATGTCTTTCTTTGAATGATTATAATCTGTGTTCGTATTTTAGGGTCTCTTACGCGTACAAGGAAGGCCTGCCACAACTTATGATGATCAAGGGCTAGTTTTTGCAGTTGCCTTTGGTGGATGCATAAGAATGTTTGATGCCCGCAAGTATGAAAAGGTCAGTTTATATTTCAGTGCATATGGCAATTGAAATTTTGCAGCCGTGTAAACTGTTTTATCTGCATATGACAATTTAAGCGTGGCTGATCTGGTTGTCCAAACTGTTTCATCTTGTTAGGGTCCTTTTGATATCTTTTCTGTTGGGGGAGATATGTCTGATGCAAATGTTGTAAAGTTCAGTAACGATGGGAGACTTGTGCTTTTAACAACCACAGATGGACATATTCATGTTCTTGATTCGTTCCGTGGCACACTTGTAAGTTGCTCTCCTCAACAACTCAATTTTAATTTGAAAAAGTTTGCTCTCAACCAACTCAGATCATCTTGAATTTCTTGAATTTGTAGCCTTTACATAATTTAGTCTTTCTAATATGCTTTTTTGTCATTGTTTAGTTATCCACGTATAATGTAAAGCCAGTCTCCAGCAGTTCAACATTAGAGGCTTCTTTCAGCCCAGAGGGGATGTTTGTCATATCAGGTATGCATGTCTTCTGTTTCGTTTTTTCTTTATGTTGTACTTATATGTGCCTATTGTGCTGAGTGGGTATAAAATTCCCACATAATTGTCACTTACGATTTCTTGTGTCATGTGAGTAAACTCTGGGACATCGTCTTGTTGATTGCTGTTTAAATGCATAGTTTCTTCAAGGCTGTGGTTTCATTTTCATGCATACATCTTATTCAATATACTTCCCAAAAAACACCTGCTTTCCCTACCCCTGAATTCCACCCATGATAATTTAACCTGGCTGGACTGGCAGACAAATGATTTCTTGGTTTCCAAACTTTTGGCAGGTTCAGGTGATGGTAGTGTCTATGCGTGGAGTGTTCGGAGTGGGAAAGAAGTATGATAAATAATTTTCTGCCTTCTTCCATTCGCATTTCTTTGTTCTCCTTGGGCTTCTAAGTCACAATTAATGTTTGTAACCTATCCAGGTCACAAGTTGGATGAGCACTGAAAATGAACCTCCTGTTGTCAAATGGGCTCCGGGAAACCTCATGTTTGCAACTGGATCTTCTGAGCTATCATTTTGGATTCCAGATTTGTCTAAATTGGGAGCTTATGTTGGAAGAAAGTAGAAATTTTTGGTCATCTCCCCCCTAATTTCTAGTGCAAAGCAGTTCAAAAGTGCCATTTAATTGTCCATTTGTTAGTGAAACTTGAAGTTACAGCCAGAGCCAGAATTATTGTCATGATTCGGCCTTGCTTCTGGGACCCCATTGAACAGAAAAAGACAATTGTACTAACGTGCTAGTCGTTCTTTTTAAATCCAAAATATAGATTCTTAAAGGATTTATAGATGCTCTGCAAGTAAGGCCCTGATCGTATGGCCTGCTCTTTGTAAAGTCAGTGTCAAGCATCTAAATGTAAATTTTTTTACAGAATTATCACTTCCAAATTTTACATAGTGTGCATGTTCCATGATTGTAAATCGTATCATGAAGATGAAATGTCAGATCAGATATCAAGTGGTGGAGGCCACAGTCACACTGGTGCCAAAATAGGCGTTTTCTAATGTTGAATTACGATATGGCAACCATGCCACCTCCTATATGCGTTAGTAATTGACAGTCGTTGATGGGGGTAGACGATGCACATATCAACAATATTGAGTAGTCTATTGAAGCATGGAGAACCGACAACCGTGGATGGTGTGGATTCTGCACCCGAAAAACTTGAGATTCACTTAAAATTCAAACTAAGGTCAGACTACTGAAGTTCTCCATTCCAAGAGAAGAAGATAAAGATAAAACTCATGTGGGAGAGATTATGGAAATGTTAGTAAGTGGACATATTATACGTACGGGTAAAGCAAAATGTCTTATGGGCCAAGCGGACCAATAGGTAAAAAAATATTGAATTGCAATATATATAGTTGTGATGAAAATGGCAAGCAAACCAACTTGGACCATGGCTTTGAAGGCTTTTACATAGAATTGGCTGAAAAGCATGATGTATGTCATGCCTCATTTTGCTGGTAAGGGACATTACGTACTTGAAGCCTCAGAAAGCTTTAAAGATCTTCTTCGATCCACACCTAAATCTCTCTTATATCTATCAACCAGGAACAAGAAGCATTGTCTGTTAGTTACTTCTTTGAAGAGACCATGCTCTCTGTTTTTTTTATTTTTTTTCACTCTTGAGGCTTTGTATGCTCTAAACGACAATTAGGGTCAGCCCTAAGCTATAAAGTTTGAACTTCTGTCAAACCAGAAAAAGGAATGCATCCACCCAAAATCTTGTTGATGGGGACCTCATTTATAGAGCTGTCCACAAGCTGAGCTCTACCAGACGCAAGAAAAATTGACCCCAATTGTGAATATATATATATATAATATTTCTGTTGGTGAATGTCTTTGTGAATGTGTCGTATGGCTCACGTCACGTTCATTTGTACACACATTTCATTTCTGCTTCTTTAACTCATTTCGTACTCATGTGAAGAAGATGCCATTTACACTCTCAAAGTTTTAAGTGATTGTAAATCCAATGGTATAAGAAATATGTCATTTATTTATATACTCGAAGCTAGGGCTGGCAAAAAATACCGAAATACCAAAATCGACCGACTAACTGATTGTGAAAAACCGATTGGGAAGTCGACCGAGATATTTGGACACTGAAACTGATGATTTTTATACTGAATAAGTAAAGTGCACGGACATCAGTCCAAATGATAAGATTTAGTGTAAAGTCAAAAATAAGACCAAATTACGAATGAAATGTAACAATTTCCAAGATTCAACACTTATATTATTCATGATTGTTGGATTTATTTTAATGCATATATAAAATAACTTGCTTCATATCATATTTATATATATACAAAAAAGAAAGAGGAGAAGAAGTAGAATATTTTGGTATTTCCAAAGTGGGTTCAAACTTCAAAATATATCCTCCTCGCGCTTACCACTAGCTCCCAGCTACTTTATAAAAACGGCTGCATATAAAATACATTCACACACTTTCATCATTTTTGCCCTAACAGCATATCTTTCTATATTTCCTTTGTACACCATTTGATATCATTGGCAAATCTTTTCGACAACGTCCATTGCCCACACCCACCACAACAACATAACCCCCACACCTTGACAACTCCTAAACCTAACGTAAACCCACTGTAGTTCCCTTCAAGTTCAAGGGCCCCACACTTAAAATCTCTGTTGACAACTGACGTCACAGCTAGCACAGCAAGCTAGTCAGAAATTGATCTTCTTCATCTCCCTAGTCTAGCTGCAGTTTTAATTTTTATTTATTTATTCATTATTAAGTGCTTGAAAATGAGCAGGCCTTTTATTAATGCTTTATTTAATCCAATGAAGGTGACTGCAAACCGTCCAGCAGTTAAAATCTGCACCATCGGATCATGTTCTTGCATTTTAATTAAGAATCATGGGATTATTATTGTTATTATATCATTGAGACTCCATGCATCTTAATTAGCAAATAATTTCCATGGAATATTCTCGGGAATAGGAACAACTAAAAGTTAAAAGCAAGATAATCATCAGCAGATTAAGTTCTTTGCATGACACGTGTCAAATACCCATTGAAATATAGTAGTTAAGCAAACATAATTAGTAGTAGCCATTCAAATACTTACAAGCTGATATAAGATCATAAACATTAACATGGGTATACTAATTAATTAGTCTGGTCTTGATTAATATGAGCTGAAATAATCAGGGGTCATGTGGCCGTAGGAATTGAGGCTGAGCTCAAGGGAAGTGCGGCCATTGTTGCCCTCGTCGGAGCGGTACCAGCCGGAGTAGTAGCTGTCGGAGGTGGACTTGATGTTGCCAAAGCCATGGATGTCTTCACCATGCATGGGGAAGAGAGGGAGGGTCTCAATCTCTGGGGAATCTTGCAGGTTTTCTTGGTATTCATGATCTTCTTCATCCATCATATTTTCTTGGTCACCAAACACTTGTCTTGATGATGATCTCTTGTCAAAGAGAGTGTAGGGTGAAGAATATGGATCAACACCAACCCATGATCCAACGTTGTGACCAATATTATTATTAGATCCACCAACATGACCACTACTAGTACCTCCTGCAGCTGATATTGAGCAGTCCTGCAATTAATTCAGCAAAAAAAAAGAGAGAGAGAAGATGGGTTAATGAATTTCACATTTGTTAAAAGTACTCAAACTGTTTTTTTCATTTTAGTACCAGTCCTAGAGTGGACTGTAAATTGGGTCCAACTAGTTTGGCTTGATTTGAGAAATGGGGTTTTGTTAATTTGGTCATGAAAGGGAAACAAGGGGGCGAAGGGTTTCATCCTAAATATAGAAAATTTCAAAAGGCTTGATGTGGGATGTTTTTGCATGAGTAGATTATAGTAAATTAAGCTTGCACTGTGCTCACATGGGTGCAAGTTTTTTGTTGGTTTCTTGCCCTCCTATTAAATTGTAGCAAAAAATTAGGGTGGCCAAGTTGTAATTAAGCAACTAAGACACACAATAACTTTGTGTTATATACTTACCCTAAAACTCTTCTCCATGGTCATAGATCCATAGCCATAGCTCCCCATTTGCCCAACAGCAATCACACCAGCTGAAGAAGCAGATGCAGAAGAAACCCCTACAAATAAAAAACACCCAAATAGTAAAAAGAAAGAAAGAAGGGGAGGGGAGAAGGTAATTAATTTTTTAATTAGCTAAAAGGGTTGGTTGTTTAATCAACTAATTACCAGCAGAAGCAGAAATGTTGGGGTACTTGTTGCTGTGATTAATGGGTTCATAAGCAGTAGGAGCATTATTATTAATCCCAAGCCCTGATCTTTGCATGATGGGTGGGGCTGGTACATCAATGAACCTTTTCTTCTGCCTCTCACGAGCCTTGTGGTTCTGAAACCAATAGAAAACGTTCTTGCCTTCAATCTTGCCGTACTGTCTCAGCCGAGCAGAGATCCTCTGAATCTGCTCTGCACTTGGGGACCTCACACCATTGTTGTAGTAAAGGTCCTTCAATATTCTAATCTGATCACTTGTGGGTGTCCACCTTGTACTGCTTTGCCTGCACAGAAAATTAGTACCACTAGTCCCTTTGTTGCTGCCATCTTCATTTGGTTGTTGTTGGGTTTGTTGAGGTTCCATTGAGAGGGCTTGGAAGGAAGAAAATTACAAAGGGAAGCAAACAAAAATGAGAACAGTGATCAGCAGAGATGAGAGAGAGAGAGAGAGAGAGAGAGAGGAAATGCATGAAATTGAAATGTTGGGATTGGGGATCAACATGGGTTTATAATTAAGATGGGGGAGGGGCACATGGAGAGATGAAGAGAGGAAATCAGAGAAATATCTGAGAGAGAAAGACTGAAGTTGACAGAGAGGAGGTTCATAAAAGGGAAGGGACAAAAGAGGGCTTAGAAAGGGGGGGTATCAGTGGGAATTACTCGGTTGAAAAGGCATGACCAGAATATATGAAAAATTATTAATGATGCACTTTGAGAGAGAGAGAGAGAGATGAGAAGAATATAATATAATATAAAATGTGGCATGGCATGATATGAAGTGATGATATAATGGATTGGAAAGAAAGAAAGAAAGAAAGAAGAGGCTTCTGATTCTGAATGAATGAATGAATGACCATAAAAATGATGGGGGTACTGTGTGATTTAGAGGTTCTTCTTTTAATGGAGATCATAGGGTCCTTTTTATTTCTTTTTTCTGATAACAAAACCAGGCCAAGATTTAGCCATAGCCAGAACCACAAGATATTCTTGTACTTACTTATAGGGTTGTCAAGGGCAAAACTGTCATTTGAAATTGATGAACTACCCTATACATTGGTTCCAAACTGTACTTGAGGCTCTTTGCCATTAGGGTTTCTATGTTTTTGGTTCTGCTACCCCTCTTTTAAGCCTAGATTATTTGGGTAAAATAATCTGGCCTGAGCTGGGGAGGTAGAGTAAATACATATATTTACAGCCTTGAAGAATATATATATAAGTGGAGAGTTTTGCAGTACTTCTGGGCCAATTACAGCATGGTAATAATGAATGCAAATTACTCACAGCTTCTAGCCATAGAGCCTCCTACTCCTACTTGTGCCAATCAAATCTCTGATTCTTGACAGAAAAATTTATATTTCCAGTCTGTAAATATATATTAATATCCTTTACTTTTGAATTTGTTCTCCCCAATTGGTTGCCTGCATATTTATATACTGTTAATTTTCATGTTGAGGTAACATATGCATGCATGTAATGATGTAAGTCATACTTACTTATGATCTTTAAGCTATCAACAATAAGAATGTTAGAATCACAAGAAGAAAATCCCTGGTGACCCACCCAAAAAAGAAGAAATAGAGAAAGATGGAATTAAAGCCACTCCATATAATTCAATTCATAGTTTGAATTTGAACACGACAACGGCCCAAATTTGACCATCAAATCAAAAGATTTAGTTGCTATTAGTCCAATTATTGTAGACAGAATGTGAGTAGCTTATTAACAAAACTTATGAAGCACACTCCCAACTTTGAGCATACATTTGGACTACTTTTACTAGAATTGAAATAATTTGGTCAACAATGGTATAAGCAAAAGTGTCAAATAGTTTCCCAAGTTATAAATTAGAATCTATATCATAAAGGCACTCAAAATAATGAATCTGAATCACACGACAAAAGTTAATACGATTAGTAATAGTCTAAATTCACGATATGACAATCTAACACTCAAAACGAGTCTAGGTGGTTGTTTAGGAAGCACTAAAAGTGATTATCTAACAAACAAACAGAAACAAAAACCCTTCTGTCCCATTTGAATCAAACAACAATGAAAAAGCGTTTCTGTTATTAGACACTACAATTCTCAATCAGACCTTAACAATGAAAGAAAGACTATTAAAATAAAAAAGTTGTGTTGCACAAGCAAAAGTACACAAACTCTTAAGTAGGAAGTGATATATTAGAGCAAGTCCACCGCAGCAGTTTGGCCCGGGCAAGAGGGGCCCTAGGCTCGCGAGACGACTCCAGCGAGCAAAAAGCAGCCCAGGCAAGACGTGGGGGCCGCCAATCCATGCAAGCCCAAAGGCAGATCCAGCTTGTGCTGTTGCCTAGGATTGCTGATGCCAGGCTGGCCTCAGCGCGCTTTTCAAATTTGTTTTCCACTACTACAAGACACGTGGCAGCACCTGAGGCGTCCGATCAAATTTTCCACTGTAATCCAACGATTGCCATTTTTTATGTAAATTTTTTTTAAAAAAAACCAAAAAATTATGATATTTTTTTTCTATAAAGAAAGACTATTAAAATTCTCAATCAGACCTTAACAATGAAAGAAAGACTATTAAAATAAAAAAGTTGTGTTGCACAAGCAAAAGTACACAAACTCTTAAGTAGGAAGTGATATATTAGAGCAAGTCCACCGCAGCAGTTTGGCCCGGCAAGAGGGGCCCTAGGCTCGCGAGACGACTCCAGCGAGCAAAAAGTAGCCCAGGCAAGACGTGGGGGCCACCAATCCGTGCAAGCCCAAAGGCAAATTCAGCTCTTGCTGTTGCCTAGGATTGTTGATGCCAGGCTGGCCTCAGCGCGCTTTTCAAATTTGTTTTCCACTACTACAAGACACGTGGCAACACCTGAGGCGTCTGATCAAATTTTCCACTGTAATCCAACGATTGCCATTTTTTATGTAATAAAAAAAATTGAAAAAAAAACCAAAAAATTCTGATATTTTTTTTTCTATAAAGTTTAATTTAAATAATAAAATTAATTTTTAAAGTTTAAGTATAAAAAATAGAAAATAAATTAAATAGAATAGTAATTGCCCTTGCCCATGGGGTGGAAACAAAATTGTAAGGGCTGCACTATTCACATAAATAGTGACAGACCAAATATCACGTAGTAAATAAAGTGTAAGCTAGAGAATCCATTGTCATGAATCATGATGCCTGCAGTCCTTTATGCTACAGAGCACGCGCCCCAAAATAAATGCCAAAAAGCATTTAATTTGCTCTGTGTCATGGTTTCTGAAGCTTTTCATGCATATAGTCTGCAGAGGAGGAGGAGAAGAAGGAGGAGGAAGAGATCATCATCAAAAGCTTCATCATTCTTTGCCACTGCCGCTTTGTTTGTACCAGCTATCATCCCTCCTTTCTTAGGTCTTAGGTCTTAACTCCTCTCTTCCCATACACACGCAATCTGCATGTGGTCCTTAAACCCAAAACCGCCCCCAGCTTGGTTTTCGTTTTATGTGGAATTAATATTGTTCTTATTAATAGTAAGTAATATGTGTGTTCTTCTTTAATCACACATGACGTCTAGTCTTTGAAAATAAAAGATTAATCCACCATGTTAATGTTTGTGTGGGGATTCAGAAATGATTATGTGTCTAAGCTAGTTGCTAGATTTTGTCTTTTTTACACTAAATTTTTGGGCAAATGGAAAACATTCATTCAATCTCTCTAGCTAGCTAGCTCCTTGAATTCAACCAGTCTCATTCCTTTTTTCTATAATTCTGACTGTTGTACATATCTTTCTCTCTCAACTCAACTTTTTCAGATTGCATAATATGTTTGATTTTGACACTATCATCATGAGATTTCCTTTCCTTATCATGCATTTACATGGGGTTTGGGACTTTGAGCCTCTCTCTCTCTCTCTCTCTCTCTCTCTCTCTCTCTCTCTCTCTCTCTCTCTCTCTCTCTCTCTCTCTCTCTCTCTCTCTCTCTCTCTCTCTCTCTCTCTCTCTCTCTCTCTCTCTCTCTCTCTCTCTCTCTCTCTCTCTCTCTCTCTCTCTCTCTCTCTCTCTCTCTCTCTCTCTCTCTCTCTCTCTCTCTCTCTCTCTCTCTCTCTCTCTCTCTCTCTCTCTCTCTCTCTCTCTCTCTCTCTCTCTCTCTCTCTCTCTCTCTCTCTCTCTCTCTCTCTCTCTCTCTCTCTCTCTCTCTCTCTCTCTCTCTCTCTCTCTCTCTCTCTCTCTCTCTCTCTCTCTCTCTCTCTCTCTCTCTCTCTCTCTCTCTCTCTCTCTCTCTCTCTCTCTCTCTCTCTCTCTCTCTCTCTCTCTCTCTCTCTCTCTCTCTCTCTCTCTCTCTCTCTCTCTCTCTCTCTCTCTCTCTCTCTCTCTCTCTCTCTCTCTCTCTCTCTCTCTCAAGACAAATAGCCAATTAGCCTACAGGGAGGAGGGGAGGAAAGGAGATGTGGGTTTTTGTTCCTTTGTCCAAATAGTCACAGTCTTGTTTTCTTTGATCAACTTTTAGACTTTGATTTGGCAGTGAAGTTGCACGTATCTGTCCCCCTTCTTATCCAAAATCCTGAGTTGCTTACCTCATAATTGAGTGACCTTAGTGTGCACAGCCGCTGTGCCACCCTCCCTTTTCTTTCGGGTAATCATCCTTTGGATGTTATTTTCTTCCCATATCTCTCAAGATACATCACAATTATATCATCACTGTCTACTAGATCTCTCTCTCTCTCTCTCTCTCTATAGACTCGTATACTTAATACAGTCTCATTAATTTTCCTTTACTTTCTCTTAAGTCCAAGATAGAGACTTGCAACTACATCTCTCTAGAGCAAGAACCCTAGCCTCAATTTTTAATTTCTTTCTCCTTGAATTCATTCGATTTTTTTT